AAGTGTGTCTTAACGGCCAATTTTTATATATAGACCTAGAGCCGACGAAAGTAAAAGTTAAATCTTTCTATTTACTTATATAAAATGGTGAAAAGTTTGTTTGTTTATTTGAACGGGCTAATCTCAGGAACTACTGGTTTATATTGAAGGATTCGTTTTATGTTAGAGTATTTATCAATGCAGGCTGTAGGCATAAAAGATCAAGCTGCGACTATTAGGAGAATGAAACAAAGAAACGGGGAAAATTATTCATTCGTGTGGGTCTCCGTTGCGTACGTTGCGAAACTTGTTCAAGATACCCATGATTCCTCTTTAAATAACATAAAAAATGTTCGCGACACTATATGTCTATCTTTTAAGAATAACTTGCAATAACGACGGGACGTTGTCGACTTCGTGGGTATCAGTTAAGATTTATAAAATGAGAAATAGGTTTGCAAACGCCCAAATTAACTATTCTACGCGGACGAAGTCGCTGACACAGCTAGGAAATATTTAATTGAATATATAGAATTAAAACCATTTATGTTAAAATAGTTACTTCTAGTTCTTTCTTTCTCATAGTATTCTCTTTCAAAGACATGCATAAAACGAACTTTGCATACGAATGAGATCGGAGAACGAAGAAACCCATCATTTTTACATGCCTCATGATTGGAATATGAATAATGAATATATTATATGGACCCGACGGACCTGCCCTCCTACGCAGTCGGGCGTTGACTCCTGTCAACTGTCAAACGCGATGACGTCACTTGCTTTAAGGGGAAGTTTCTCTGTTTATCACGGCTTAAATTAAAAACAACAAAATGGATTTTAAATTCCAATCTCTGTATTATCTTTGAGTAATCTAAATGCGCAACACGTACAATCTGCGCATGAGTAATTGTTTTTGATAACTTAACGAGTTACAACTGTTAAGCGACGGGCATATTTAAATCAGAAACTCGAGATCACAGAGTATAAACAAGTCGGTTTAAACGTGAGAACTTCTAACAATGGACAGTACTTATGTGACTTCCGTTTCATCTCGACGCACTTTAGACGGATTCTTAAGTTGATTAATATTTATTCTCATTAGTTATTTTGGAGTCCCGTTGGTGTAAGGGTAGCATTGTATGGCTAATAATCCCGTAGATACGGGTCATAGTTTCGATTTCCACCGGGTCTATGTTTCTAATCAATTAATAATTTATCTGAAACGTGTTAGACTGAAACTGTAAATCTTAATTTTAAATGGGTCAAGATTAATGGCGTTTCTGTTTCAGTATCCGAAAATCTGAAGCCTAAATAGGTCGACAGTGCATTTTGCCTTTATATTAAGTCAACCCCATGCTACCATCAGTTTTTCATTACGTCCTTACGCCTCTACATTCTTTTATAAGTCAATGTCACAGTTTCATAAGATTTTAAACTACTTTCCTTTTACCGATATACCATTTATTGGTTTAAGTGTATGTAAATGCTTAGACGATTTTTAATCTGTGCCTTAATACAATTATTGTGTTGGCATGACAAAACCCATTGTGGTACCCTGTCATTACAGTCTTGCAATAGCTATCGAGTGAATGCGATATGTTTGGTAACATTTTTATCGATAATTCAGTTAGTATTAAAATTAAGTACATTAGATATTTGTTAATTAAAAATAAGTGTACATTGAGAATAAAGATTGGGTATAGTTAGCAGTGTACGTAAAAATTTAACGGTTGAAAACACAGTAAATTAAAAATATTTCACGTTAAATATTGTCTGTACCTTACGTAAATACTAAACATTTAAATAAAACACTTTTAACGGTATCAAACGTGTAATATATTAGTTAACTCATTTACAATTACGTGCTTTGCAATAGCCATGGTCACGGGGGGATAAAATACTCGTCGGGTTTGGTATAATTATTGTCAATAATAGTGATATATTTCGCGTTTGATACCGTTAAAACTGTTTAAGAGCATTGCTTAGTTAAAAATGTTAATTAGTATGAATGTAATGTAAGAAAGTTAATAGACCGGTCGGATCTCTGAAGGTTAAGTAAAAAAGGAATAGAATTGTGAAAGCGACTATGCGACCCACTTGTCTGATCTCGCGAGTGTAAGAGCTAATGACAAATTGTACTGTACATAATATTACTTATTCGCATGCACACAACTACCAACCAGAATATTTCTTAAAAATATGCATTGTTAAGAAGCAAAAACCAATTTTATTACAAATATTTACTCCCCTCGCCCCCCTTGTTGGAAGTAAGCAAACTCTAACGTATTATATCACTTTTTATTTATTCACTAGCTGTCTGCGTAGAATACTTATTTTGGGTATACAAATTTGTTTTTTTAATCCTCCTGTATAATTTTAACTTGTTACCAACGACGTCATCCGCTCCGTCGTATTTGCTTCTTAAAAGATATACTGTCGCGGATATTTTTTAGATAATTTTAAGAGAAATCATTCTCAGTCATAGATATTTTCTGTTAGCTTCAATCATTTCTGTAACGTGTGCAACAGAAACCCACAAATATAAATAATGTGGGGAACATTATTTGTTTTCTTCATATTATCCGCTGTTTTCCAGTCGCCGCGTTTTGTATAGCATATAGCATTCCCCGATAGGTTCTGATCAACGGAAAAGGTTTTTTGAAATTGAACCAGTAGTTCCTGAGATTAGCCTGTTCAAACAAACAAAATCTCCAGCTTTATATATTAGTATAGATAAATATACATTGGTAAGGAGTAGGAAAGCAATTTACAAATTTCTCACTACCCTCCTCCTTTGATGTCAGAAAAAGCACTCAAACTTTGTTGCATTGTATCCCTTTCTTATTCATTTTAAGTTACAAAATAAATCGTAGAAAAAACAACATCTGTCTTGACGGGAACAGTGATGCCAGACATATAAATTATTTATTTAAAAAGTCGATAAAAACCACTTTGTTCCGATTTAGTGCATTTAGCGATTGTCTGTTATGAAAAATAGTGAAAGGTGTCCGTGTAAGGTGAGAAAGTGTCGTCCAAATAGGACGGCCCAATTTGTTGTTAATATTTGCAATGCAATTTCTTGGACTGTTATATGTATACGTATAATTTAATTCTGATGCTTTTTTGTTTTATTTTATTAAAGAAATAGTATACACGATCATGATGATATATTAAGGTTATTGTGCGAACACTAGTATAATATTAGAAGATATTATATGTCTTAGGAGATATCACAATTCTTTAATCTCTTTATAGAAATAAAATCTATGAAGTTCTGTATTCCATACAATACGCGGCACCTGTTTTACTGATCGAATTATTTACTGTGAAGAAAACTAGACCTTTCTAGAATGACAAGAAAAGTGAGTGTAGGAATGAAAGTAGGAGTGATGTGAGGTGAGAGTGTTGCGGCAAAGTAGCACTTACCATAGATTGGCTGCCTTAAATGCGCCCTTACATAAATTAATAAACAACCCCAATAATTAAAAATTCTACCCCAAGTCACTATTTCACGCGGACGAAGTCGCAGGCACGGCTAGTTCATAATAAAAATGCTAATTTTATGTGATTGATGAATTGGCTCTTACACTATAAAAGCAACATAGTGCGACAACATTGAAGGAAAGTAAATGACGTGTGAAGTTGCATGATTTCTATCAGTTACCGGCAAACTTTAGAAACTTAAAGAAGTGATCAAAACCCAGTAGATTATATCTCTATGCAAATTATTATCGTTATAAAAACGTAACTTTCTACTTTGATAGTTAGAATGACTGTCTAAATTAACCGTACCTTATAAGGTTTGGTAACAATTAACTTTTTATATCGTTAACAGCAAAAATCACGATTGAGTTAATTATCGTGCTATTCAAATTTTCCGGAGATTGCTAAAACAATGTTGGGGATTTGCTGGAATGTCGGGTCGGGAGTTTTATAATCGAACCATATGTCAACATAGATACTACCTAAGTACTAATTGATTTAAACAAACATCAATTCGAAATTCCGCAACACAAAGACACTGTGGGACAATCGTAAATTATATTTTTATTTAGAGATGTTATAAAATCGGTAGATATGCGAATTTCTTTTTTATTTATTTTAAATCACTATTAAGTAACAAAAACTATACAAAATTAATCTAATTCTATATTCTTACATACAAATTAGTGTTATTTTTTCACTATTTTGTACTAGGTACCTACTGACGTTAGTATTTTGTGCGAGTCATGTTTATGCACTCTAGTACGTAAATTACTCAATGTTTTAAACTGGCCACTATTTGAGAGTTCACTTTTGGCAACCGCTAATGTTATGTTTACTATGAAAATAATTGTTTTGCAAAAGAGCAACGAATGACCTTATACCGAAAAATGTCAACGTGGTCTTAACAAATTAACACACAGCGGCGATGAATCCAAGGAAAATATCAAGCAAATTGTTGGAAAACACAAACGTACATAGAAATTACAGTTGGAGTTTTGTATTCGGTTTACACGTGTAGTACCTACCACATTGATATAAAAACGGTTTTGATGGTTTTAATTGCAAAATACATTATATAATTAATTTTATCTACGGCTCGACGTTTCGGATGCTTGGCATCGGCCGTGGTCAAAGGGACAAAGGATCTAAAACGTCGGACCATAGTTAAAATTTGTTACACTGTTAAATAACATTAGTGCTAAAGTGATTTAGCCGTTATGGTTCTATGCTTAAACGTTTAATGTACAAATTGCGAGGGTACAGGTAGACAAGTAACTTTATTTTTCAAACATTAAGCATTCGTCTTATACAAATATCTTTTTTTTTCCACACTTTTTCGAAAGTTCAAGTACAGTATTGAACAAACAATACCAATATAAAAACACTTTATGATACACAAACATATTACAGTAATAAGATTAAAAAAAGAAGTTACAAACATACGTAGCGGGATACGTCAACTATACTAAAAAAACAAATGAGTTCATCCATCAAAGAAATAAAGGTTGTTTATTCTATTTTTTTCTTGTTAACAGGCAAACACCTGGTCTTCACAACTGACCCAGAATCCGTTAAAGATGAATTTGCTTTCGACAACCCGGGATTCCGACAGGACGAGAGGAATTGGCAGAACGAAGCCCCCACTCTTCCCATGGGGGGAAAGACACATGGCCTTCACGTAGAATTTACTAAGCCAGAGCAGAGTAAAGATGACTCGTACATACAGGTAAAGATTTAAGGAGTCTGTATACTGAATCTAAGTAATTCACTTACATGAAAATATGTATAAAATACTGTCTGTAGCTTACGGGAGTAGTACAGATTTAAAACACTTTAAGGGTTTTAAACGCGGTATATATAAGTTAAACTTATTTGAGAAATCGAAACACCGCAAGAAACAAACCGTCAGTTTTTTCGCGCTTCTTTCAGTTGTTTTTCCGAAAATCCAAAGCCAGGTCTACAGCGCTCACACTTAAGTCATTGGAGACATGGGGTCATGGGGACACATTTCTGTGTCCGTTGCAATGTTCGATTGTTTTACAGTCAATTAGTTAGATTATAATTTTGAGCCTCTCTCACAGAAAGAATCTGGAATTCGAACCCAGGCCCTCTCGCATGTGAGGTATTGCTAGGCAACCATTTGGTTACAGGAATGGTCAGAGTTTGAGGAGCTGTTTAAATTTAGAATGCAGAAAGAGTTAAGTTAGTTACGAGAAACTGAAAACGACCTAAGACTACATATGCGGCTTTAAGAGGCAGAGTAGCCTAACTGAATGTTATGAGTTGAGTTATATATATTTTCATAGTCTAAAAATGTTAATCTACAAGAGCACAGTGACCTAATGTTACAGAAAATAATAGTACTAAGTAATTCATTTTCGACTAAGTTTATTAATTGCGAATTTTTAATTTCCTCATTGAAAATCACGTTTTTTTAGGCCACTCTGCCTCTAATATGAGACTGTATTCATTTGAGCGAACACGTTTTCTCTCTTAAAACTTACATCATAGCTTCTAGATCTTAATGCTTATGCGTTTATGTAATGTCCGCCCGTAGTGCAACATCATCGTAAAAATTCTACACGACTTACAAATGGCTTGATGCCGTATTCGTTAGATATTAAAAAAACTTGTATCTGTATCTCTTGTAAGTATAATATAAGAATGCTTGGGCATTAATAGACACAGAAGTGATAACAAATATAAATAAAATAATATACCTACTTAAATTTTTATTATATAATAGATATAGGTTATTCAGATCTTTTATAGCAATTTTATTAATTCGTCTTATAATATTTGCATTCTAACCGCTTTAAATAATTTAAATAAAACACTTTAACGGTTTAAAACGCGATATCTATTAAACTTATTTGAAAATTATTTTTATCTACAGCTCGACATTTCGCCATGCTTTGCAGCAGCCGTGGCACGGGGAGAACCAATAAAGTATACCAAAAAAGAGTCGGATTTTAATTTATAATTCTTTGGTTAAATCACACTTACAGTACCTTATCAAAATCTGGGGCTCGGCCTCAAAAACCTACATTAATAGTTTACAAAGAACTCAAAATCAAATTATCAAGGTCTTATTTCACTATTCTTTCTCACTTGCATCAAAAACACTATATCACAAAACGAAGCTTCTTAATTTAAAAAACTTACACAAATACTGTACTTGTCTCCTAATTAGAAACATTACATCTGGTACTACGAAAACAAACTTACAAATAGCTAAACGAAACGCCTATTACAACTTGAGGAAACAAAATGATTTAAAGACGATACAAATTAGAACCAATTATGGGAAACGAACCATCCTGTTTGAGGGAGTGCATATGTATAACAATTCGCCCAGCAGCGTTAAGAACTCAAAAAGTTTAACCTTGTTTAAAACTAAACTATTAAGTCACATCTTAAACTGTAACCCTATCTAATCCTAGTTTTATATAAAATAGCCTGAGGCACACCAAAGTTATTTATAAAACAATTTATTCCTCGTTCTAAGTGAATTGTAAATTCTTACGAGTTAATAAACATCTTTAAACCTTATTTCGAATGCTTTGCAGTAGCTCTGGTCACGGGGAGAATATTTTTTAAATAACTTTAACTAATATATATCGCGTTTTAAACCGTTAAGGTATTTTATTCAAATGTACATAAAGTTAAAATTAGTTTTATTTAAATCTTAGATTGTTATACAGTGGAGACTTCGATCGAGAGGCTTCACAAAAACCAGTTGCAAGCGTTGCGTCCGTACACATTTCTGATACACATTCCGATCTAACGTGTTGTAAATTGATCTGCGCACGCGCATCATATCCATACTTATTTTTTACTATTATTTACCTCTCAAGTACTACGTAATGAAACTACGTGATCAAAATACAAATCAGAGAGCCGATGACCTGTATTTTTGTGAATAAGGTTTGTTGTTGTTATATCTGTTATATTCCAAATCATGGGCCGCATTTTTATAAAAATTGTGTCAATTAAAAATCGACTCTTGATTGAAAAAAATTGCGACTCGGGCAAGACTTGAACCGGCATCCACAGCGTTCCATGCTGTTGCTCTAGAAACTAGAATCGATTTATAATTTATACTGCATTAGCAACCTTTAAAAATGTATGTTGTACTCTTTAATTTAAGATTTTTAATGCTGTAGTTCTCCAACCAAGAAACATTCCGTTACACAAAAACGTAAATAAGTGCCTTATCAGCTACTAAATCATACTTACTGATTTCCTTTAAAAATTGGACAGCAATTCTGTCCTCTATCGCTCTTAAGGCTTCAACCTCAAGTTGTAAATACATATATACGTATATATAGTCACAAATCACAGTAATGTTTTATTAGGTATAGTAAAAAATAGGTCGTAACGAATGACGCCACCTTTAAGAACCATGAACACGACAAACAATAGATTAGTTCGTAATCTCATACCTTGTTTGCACAGGTTTAGTAATGGAATTTTAAATTTGGAATTCGGTTCGACTATTGTAAGCGTTAGATTTATATTTTTGTATGTTTGGACTGACTTAACGGCGAAAATACTGTACTGATGTGCTTTAAAAATTACTTCCCATTTACTCTCTGTATCCACTTCATTAGTCAAACCCAGGACTTCGTTGTACTTTGACGTGCTCGTAGGTAATGGTAGCAATCTATGGTTACTAATCGACGGATCGTGGATTTGATCTCCTAATGTTTCAAATTAATGAATATTTTTTCTGAAACATTTTGAAATTCGTCTGGGAATCTTGATAATAATGTGTGCTAGGGATATCAAAATTCCGTCCGGGTCACGAACTCCCGTCCACAAATGAAAAAACCGTGAAGTTCTATCGCGTGTCGGTTTCAGTTTGTCGATTTTCGAATATCCAAAGGCAAAATAGGTCGATAAAGTATTTAACAAAAATAGTTGTAATGCCTTAAAAGTTTTAAGTTAGTTAACTCATTTACAGGTTATTTTAATTAGGCCGTAATTGCGTTTTCGGATCCATTTCTCGTGGTTCCCCCATGACCGCGGCTGTTGCAAAGCAAACTGAAATGTCGATTCGCAGTAAAATTGTAAATAAGTTGTCTAATATATATCGCGTTGTAAGCAGTTAACAGTGTTTTATATAAAGTAGACAAAATAAATAAACACTAATCGTATAGAATTTAAATGAAACATAAAATCATTATTCAAATTGAGGCTAATTTGTTTATTGTACTGACTAATCCAAATTTTATTATTTCGTTTATTAAGGTCAGGCAATTAATTTGATTGCATTTGAAATGTTAATTATAGAACCTGTTAGACACAAATCAATCAACGAAAATCACGTTTGTTTGAAAAATTGTGATCAGACGATGGTTAGAAAATCCAAAATGTGGAAAAATTCGTGTACATTTGTCGTGTGTACATTTGTGTAGTCCTCGTTTAAAGAGCCTGTGGTGCATAGAGGTCTGATGATAAAATAAAAGGAGAGCGCATCCATCTATCGAGTGAAGTGTTTTTTCTGATTTTCTCTGTTATAAAAACTAAATAAAATGAAACCCCGTTTTCCGCTGAGACGCAAACACATTTTCGTATCCATTCTACTGGTAAATTTTATTACCTTGCTCGACCGAACCACAATATCCCTTGGTCTGCCCCGTTTAATGCTCTCATCAACATAAAAATATTGTCAATATGGATCAGTAGTTCCAGAGATTAGCGCGTTCAAACAAACGAATTCTTCAGCTTTATATATTAGTATAGATACACTGTATTCAGAAGTATTAGAGTAATATAATTACCTCAAATACATAGTCAAGATTCCAAAAGGCTTAGTTCACACGGATGCAATGTTAACCAAGTATTAAATATGATGTCATCGACTTAGTATAAAGCTATGGATAAGGACGGTTTGCTTTAGATAAGGAGGGTTCCGTAGCTATTATGAAATTGCAACCTAATTCCTAGACTTATTTTAACTACGGCCCGACTTTTTAAACTACAGACAGCGTTCATTTCTAATGTTTCAAAATAAATTTACGTCTCAATAAAAAAATAGCAAAAAGGCTACATTATTAGTTAAACTTAATTTTCTACTTGTCTCAAATATTATCAACAAAATTATAGTGTCATAGATTATTATAATATAGAAGAAGGAACCGCGATTTCGTGCTGTGAACACAGATAAAAACTATAATTGTAGTTTTTCTCAACAAGTCCAATGTTTCTACTGTTCCTCGTCAGTTAAAGGTCGAATTATTTCAAGTTCATTAAATATTGTTCATCTATTTATACTGATATATAAAGCTGAAGAGTTTATTTGTATATTTGAACGTGCTAATCTCTGAAACTAATGGTTAAAATAGATCCTTTATGTGTTAGTTAGAGCATTTAACAGCGGGGAATGTCCAAAAAACTAGGAAAATATTTATCCTTTTGGGTTTCCGTTGCGTACGCTGCGAAAACGGTTTAAGATACCCAAAAAATATGAATGAAAGAATGATTCCTCTTTAAATGTTAAAACAATGTTCTGGATACTATATGTCTATATTTTACTTAAACTGTGTAAATTTAAAGAATTGAACACGAGGTTTGCAAACACAAATTTTGATGCCAAAATATTCTACGCGGACGTAGTCGCTGACACAGCTAGTTCATATGCAATAAATTAATTATAAGTTTTAACGTACCAATCAGTGATCTACTTTTATTTAACTTCGTATAGAGATATAAAAAAAACTATTATTTACTGTAAAAATATTTCAACGGTAAATTAACGGTTTCATAAAATGTTCTCAAACCTGCTTGGAAATTTAAGCATTATTTCGACCTTCTTCGAGATAAATCGAACTTGCTGCACTGGTCGAGCAGCGGCCGGCAATAGTTCTATGAAAACCCATATCTGTCGTGCTTAGCGGCCAAATTACTACGTCATTAGGTGTAATTTAAAAATGGAACGGTTTTTAACATGGCGGCTAAAGAGAACTTAGAGGTTGCTTGTCGTCCACTGCAGTAATCTACTTTTAAAGCATAACCTAAAATGATTATATGTGTACTGTCTATAGTTTACGCGAGTAGTAATTTAAATAAAACACTTAAACGTTTAAACGGATAGTCGGGCCGAAGTTAAAAATCGTTTTCAAAAAGTTTAACTAATAAATCGCGTTTTAAACCGTTAAAGTGTTTTATTTAAATTATATGCATATGATAAAACGCTGAATTGTAGTCTATAATTTTTAGATACCTATAGAAGCTACGTACCTTCTTCGGACTAAAGATAATCTTTTATTTTCCAGCGCGCTCGTGTACGCCGTGTAAAATTATGGGCTCGAGACTTCACTGGTCTAGGTTTGACTTGTGGTGGTGGAGCGAAGGAAGGTGTCTCCATACAGTCAGTGTTGCGTAGTGGGCCGGCTGCAGCTGCTAAATTACAACCAGGTAATCTTTATTTACAAAAAAATATACTATGTATTTCGGCATTGTAAGACCATGGTAAATATTTATCAAATAAATTCTCCACCAGCTGTCTCATAAGGTAAATGGTTAAACGTGTTTTCTAGCGTTAAGCGCGAGAGATCCTTTCGAGGATTCGAATCCGGGGAAACAATGATTGTTTCGGTCGCGCAAGGCACAGAAGTCTGATCTACTTGAATGAAAATAAAACCGAAGCGTGAAATGTACACGGAAATATGTTCACCCCACAAGGGGAAAGGGGATTTCACAAAAAAAGATCATGGCACTCTCGAACCCTTAAATTGTATACATATAAATAATTAGAAATTTTATTTGCAATATTAGATCTTTACTCATTTGTTTTTATGAAGTAAACCTTATTTACAGCTTACTAGATTATTCGGCTTAAGTGTTAGCTTGGTAAATTATTTATGGAAAGGTTATATTTGAACACATAAATATTTAATTCCAGGGGACAAAATAAAAAGTATCAAAATCGAGTTTTCTGGTACTCCACTCGAAGATGCGGTCGCCATTTTATCACTGGCGTCACCTTATCCGGTAGAACTAGAGGTGATAGAAGGAGGGCGAGTCAGCGGTGACGGTTGGCGCGTCCATCATCCGTTGATGAAGAGAGCTGGTTCCACTGGCGATGTTAGCACGGTGAGATTTCTGTTTTTTTTTATGATAAAGGAGGACAGACATGGCATGTTGTTTACTCGATGGTAGGTGACTCCAGCCTATATAAAAAAAAATTCACGTCTAAAAAGGGAAAATTATTTCTAAAAAGCATGTTCTACTATCACCACGACTCTGCAAAGCATCCGAACCGTAGGAGTGTAGTTAAAATAATTTATTAATAAATTTCGCGTTTTATACCGTTAAAGTGTTTTATTTCAATGTGTACTACCTAAAACTACAGGAAGTATTCCCTACTAACAATTGCTTTTAAAAGTTTCTTAATAATAAGCTTATTATAGCTTACATGTAGCTTAACTCAGTCTGGAGAACATTTATATGAAAGTGAAGCTAAAGTAACACAGTAGAATCATCTTAAAACGTCGTAGGAATGGAATGTATCTTCTGTTCTGATATATATACAATAAGGATGTGTTTGCAATAACATAAGTGATACAGTCAGGATGTTTTGCATCGAGCTTCTTTGAAATTTAAGCATGTGGTCGTTTATGGAATGTCTATTGTATTGGAATGTATTAAAGAAAATGTATGCAGACGTATCGTTCGATAGTTATCACATGTTTTTATGCGCACTAACTCAACAATCATATTGACGTAGGTTATTATATTAAACTAGCTGTGTGCGCGACTTCGCCTATTGTAATTTTGGGCATTAAATTTTGCTTTTACAAACTTCCTAGCCTTTAAAAATTATAGCTGTTATCCACGACGTCGTTTATGTGTCGTTCTTGCGAGTTAATCTTAAATGATATTAGTTTTAATAACGTGTTGAAATCTAATCTTTGCCATGCATCATTTACAGTCAATTTAATTGAGTTTCTATTTTATTACAGCTGGAAAAGGAAGGAAGGCTCTTACATCCTCCGCGCTCACCAAACACGTCGAATTCAAATAACTCCACATTAGAAACCAAACACAGTAAAGGCATCAAGAAAATAATTGCGGAGAAAATAATAACATCCACAACCCTCGAACGAAATAAGAAAGAGAAGAAAGAAACGCCAACTACATTAGAGCGAGAGAACGAGAAGAATTTGAAACTCGCTAACAAACAAAGACATTCTGAAGTACCGCCTGCTTTTAACAAACCGGAACGTAACAAAAATCGGCACTCAATAGGTAGCGACGTACAAATAATACAGCCCGAAAACGGAATAGCACTTAATGTAGAGAACGCGGAAGTGCAAAAGAGAGAAAGTGACCCGAAAAAAGGCATGAAGTTCGGAATCCGCGTCCTCCCGCCTAACGTACCTGATGATGGTGTTCTTAAACAGAAAAGTGTTGAGAACGGTGCGGTCGTACTTGAAAAGAAAACCGCCGACGAACCGGATAAACCTGAACCACAAAGACCAGCCCCCACGGCTCATATTAAACATGAAAATGAGGTAGAACAGAAGAAACCCGTCGTAGCAAAGAGAAGAGAAAAAATGGCACCTCCAGTACCGAATGCAAGAGTTAAAACAAATGAAAGCGATACAAGTATCAGCCAAGAAACAATGAAAATTTCGGATACTTCCCAATCTTTTACAAGAAGCGATTTAAATTCTAGTGGAATCAAAAGAGATGAGAATGGTATACCTCAAGAATTACCTCAGCATATGTTTGACGCAGCAAAGGCTGCCAGAAGTAATAGAAAGAGTTCAGCAGAACTCTTCCCAGATAAGGATAAGAAAGAAGAAGCACCTAAACCCGCGAAAAAGTCTAAGGGTAAGGCACCTTCGCCGCCAGCTGTAGGGAAAAACAAAACTGACGACAGTATGATAGAACAACTCCAAAACGTGAACGACTTTCTTTTGAATGAGAAACACCACTCCAGCCTTTTGTTCGATTCGTCTGTAACCACTAGTTCATCTATGACATCTTATAACACATCTACGCCAAAAGTAAATAAGACTAAGACCCGTTTAGAAGAATCTATTAATTTTAGTCAAGACGACATTGATGATATCGTGTCGAAACCTTTCAAACGAGAAAGTGATTCGTTGAATAACTTCTTTGAAGACTCGAAATCTAACTTATCGTCGAATCCGGATGGCCATTCAGTCGTATCTCTAAATAACAGCGACAAAAGTGAAAAGGGATCTACTACTATTGAGTTAAACAATAGTGACATAACTATACATAGCTCACCTTTAAACGAAACAACGCGATCTGCTTCAGATGATACATCTATTTTAGACGAGAATGAAAGAAAAGCGGCCTCTTTAGGGGATCTATCAAGGTTTGATTTAAGAGTAAAAACTACAAAGACGTCAACCGGTACTCTAGAAAGAGCTCAAAGTCTAGACATATCTGCTGATGATGTTGAGATTCAAGAAACAACATTATCCCCTAAAAAGAGAAAAGCCATGTCTGTCGTCGAAACTACGTTCTTTGATTCAGGTACAGAGGATATTTTGCCCGAAATCGACCCCGACAAAGGTATTTTAATAAAACAAAAAGAGCCCCGACTTAGTTTAAACATCGCTAAATCTTCTGCTTTAGAAGGCTTGAATACATTTCAAAGAAATCGTCTGAAAAAAGCTTCTGAATTTGGTAATTTGGAAGATGCAATCGTAAAAGGGTCGTCAAGTTCCATAGAATCCGATAAGCAAGGTTCTCAAGAAATTCATAAAAAGAGGTCTCAAACTAGTTTAGACACAACGGAGGAAAGCGAGCACGAAACATCTGACCACTTGGCGAGGAGAATTATGGACGAAAACATGAGAGTTCACTTGAAGTTAGTATCGGAATTTGCAAAGTCCACTTCAGACGGTAGTAATGCCAGTTCGCTGGAAAACACGCAAGAGACACAAAATGTATCTACAACAGAAACAATCGCATCTACCACATCGCCTGTAAAATATGAAGAAAAAGTAACAATGCATTACGATACTAACATTCCCGATGACATGAAAGTCTCTCGTAATACCTATGTTAACAGTTTAGAAAGACCTAAATCCGATATGATGAAAAAACTTCTCGCTAAAAATCCAATTTTCAATGTCCACATTGACCAGGTAACACATAAGCAGGAAGCAACAACAAGTACTGATAGACCGGCACCAATGACAGATTCGCTAAAATCTGCAATGCATCAGCCGGATATTGTCAACTTTGATTTGAAGACTTCAGAACCAAAAGCCAGAGAATATGATGAATTCGTCAGCAATATTAGGGTTGGTTCTAATAATAATAGCTTAAAATTAAATAGAACATCTCAAGAAATTGTTACATCTGAATGGAGTGAAAGCAAAGATAGCCAAGGTGTACAAGCTAGCAATATAGTAACCATTTCGACAAACGAAAAATCTGTGCCTAATGAGAAAAGAACTTACACAAAATCAATAGAAATCGGAGAACCAAGTATTAGACTAGTGCCTGATTTGGTTGATGGAATAAAGAAATCTGACGAAAAAGAAACTAGGACTTTGTATATGGAACCAGCGAATGTTTCCCTCACCATGCAACAAGAACCTGTACAAAAAACGGTAACAGTAAATGTAACTGAAGACGAACACGGTAATAAAATCATATCGCAAAACGTAGAAACAATATCAACGAAATACATCACTACTAAAACAGAAGCACCTCTACAAGTAGAGCAAATTACTTTTGGTATTTTGAAAGGATCTGGAAATATTGATGAAATGGAATTAGAAGAAGGAAACATTCAGAATATAGATAAAAACGTTCTTGCAGAGATTAAGAGACAGAACCCTAACATGCATTTTACATCCGACGAGCCCTCATATACAAGAACAGAAACTATAATATTAAACACAGCAGATATGGATGAAAAGCAAGCGAAGTTACTAATGGAAAGGTTACAAAACGATCCTAGTTTTATGGCACAAAAGACTCCCGAGGAACTATCGAGATTGGGAATTAAAATTATTCATGATTTAGAAGACACACAAAAAGTGATTGATGATGGAGCGGTCGAAATTACAAAAACACGATATTCTATTAATCCGTCAGTTGTATTAGAATCAGAGAAACAATGTATAACCCAATCGAGTCAAGAGGATGGGCAGGAAGAACACATAACAGAAATCCAAGTAGTAACGCCGCGGACAGAAAAGCATATAAGTCAAAAAGAAGACAAGGTATCGAGCAGACAAAGAGTGCCTTCAAACATCGCCAGTTACGAAGATCCACTATCCTATGACTTTCACGTCGACCTCATCAACGATTTTATAACCAACGAACGCCATCACTCAGCGAAACAGCAACTAGACGCGAATAAACGAACGAAAACGACTCAAAGCACGAGCGAACCAAAGAAACGCCATTCGGACTTTGATCTACCGAGAAACAGCCATATTAAATTTCGAACAGCGACGTATGAGTCGCCAAAAGGTACCATAGTGACGAGTACAGATTTAGAGAACCGCCGTCTGTCTCAGATGGATCAAATGCAATTACGTGCGTCCAGCGAGTCGACTACAAGTTCAAAACCTACAATTTCCGCTAAGCCGAGTAACATTCCCGTTAAGGCAGCGGATAAAAGACCATTATCCGGTCTGGTCTCTTCGAAAATTCCAGTATTCTCGTCGCAAAAGTCGTTAAGTCAAGAAAATCTATCGGATAAACATTTCTCGTTACCGCGAACCCCGCCACTCACACTAAGCTCGAGTTCCGGTAACATTTCTGTAACATCTATTAAAAGTAGCTCTAGAAGTCCAAGCGGTGGACAATTGTAATAGTACTATTCAGTCAAGTCAGTCACATTTTTATTAGGACTTGGATTATCTATATTGTTATATCTACACTATATCTATAGTGTATTTTTTCTTACTTGGCAAAAGGCCACAAACAAATATGGCCGATTTCAAACCATAGAGTTTTAGTGATGCCCTTATATAGAGTGTAGTCATTCCCACAGGTGACAGGTGATAGGGTTAAAGAAATTATTGTACAATTGAATTTGATATAGTTCATTAGTTTAATATATAATCCAATGTCTTAAAGTGTTTTCAGTGTAAATCAATGTAAAACTTGTGAGAAAATCACGATTGCATGTACATTGTTTACCAAAAATGCCATGTAAGAAAAAATACACCATATCTCTTTCGTTTTAAGTTCTTTGCGGCTGGCTGACTTATATTATATTCATTGTTAGATCTTGTACAAGTGTATGGCATTATTATGGTAAAATATATACCTTATGTAGAGTTTTCGTATTTAATATAGTGCCAGGATTGTTCAGATTAGGGGATTGTAAGTGCCTTATGAATTGGACTGTATTCTATTTGAATAAAACGTAGTTCGGTTGTGAGAGTATATAAAATAGTTCGTACAATTTGTCACAAGTAAAGATTAGAAAATCACAAACATTCCGTCCCGAAGAGTATTACCATTTTTATTAATTTAAGGTATAGGCTAACTATATTTTTGTCTGATCAAAGTTTTAACAAACTGCATAGTCTTCCATACAATGTTGCCAATCATTACATTTTTGCTGTATGTACTTAATTAAACGTAAGCGATTCCGGATTTATGATTTTATTTTAATGGCCCGATATACTTTTGTACTTATGTAGTTGTACGGTATGTGATCATGTTTGTTAAGTTAAAGTTTTTATATAAATTTATTATGTTCTATGTAATTTTGCGCGGTTATTAACAACTAATCACAATATTATACAAACGTATTTTATTAATGTATTATATTATTATGAAATAAATAAAGAAATTATAATGTTTTTTTGTTTTGTTTATTTATGATTTTCAAAAGTATACCTACCTACAGAAGAAATACCATGTCAGTTAATACTGTTACATTTTTCTCATGGAAAAATAACAAATAATATTCAATTCAATATTTAGTATTCCAACAAAATCTAGTGGGTACATATTTCCTTAAAATCGGAAGGAATTAGGACCTTGTGAGCAGTATAATAAGATTTCTAACGGGAAAAGTACAGAATTACAAAAAATAAAACTATTGTGCAAGTAGAGTCTATAGTTTATACGATACACATGTAAATAAAACATTTATAACGGTTTACATGTGAAATATAGGAGAGGCCAGCGAGTCAGTCCTGTACGGACTCAGTTAGTTCCTCCAATATAAAATACCACGACTCAGATGGCACTAGTGTAGACGATTTAACTTTAACATAAAATAGGTCAACTAATATTTTTCACGTTTTAAAACCGTGTAATTCAATTATATTTTAGATACATGTACCTAAACTGTAAACACATATTGCTAGAGGTTTGGTTACTAAAAATATGCAAGCTTTAAGAACTAACCGGGGATCACTGACGGTAGAATAAAAGTAAAGTGGTTTAAGTAATAAAAAAACGCCTTTGTGGTTTATTCGCTTTCGCTTCGCCCGCCTGTCGCGAATCGGGCTTTACAATTCCTCTTGCATTCCCGCCTGAAACTCCTCTTCATACTCTTCTTACATAAGTACGCGCTACACACAATCTTGTATGTTGTCACACACGCTTTCCTACATACTTTTGCCGCCTTTCTGTCGCAAGAGTCGCGCCATGTTTTTCTTAACATCTGCGCCTGTCGCTCACTTAGTTTCAAATCGCCTAGAATTTCCATATCTGTGTTATTTGATCTATTGATGTTAGTTAATGATTTGTATGGCTCCAAGTCATTTTCATTCGATATATCGTCCGATCTTAATGGATCATCCTGAAAAAAAAAAATACATTTCCATAAATAAACAAGGTAATTTAGATCAAAGTGATGCAGAAAAGGGACGATCATTATGTATAGAGTATTTTTTCTAACTTGGCAAAAGAGCACAACGAATATGGCAGATTTCAAACCACAGAGAAGTAGTGATGTCTTTTTATAGAGTGTACTCGTTGCCACAGAGGGCTTAACAAATATCTATTATATATGGATAAAACGACCTCAATATTCACAATCACTTTTATGATAACTTTTTTGTTTATATTTTTATGTCTTTATTAAACTCGACGTTTTTAACGCTTTTTAGCGATTGTGCATGAGTGGGACTTCAATATATAATATTAAAAACATAGTTTACCAAAACTAAAAATCAAATATAAAAAAAAAACGACACGAGCAGGCCTTGAACCGTCATCCACAGCGTGCGGAACGACGCGGTAGCACGGAACGTGTGCAATGAAAAATGAAAAATAATTAAGTTTTCAAACATATTGGTTCGTTGGTAGTAGGTTGGTGTGTCGCCTGTGTAAAGTTTTACTAAGAAAATACTGTTGCAATTGCCTCGGTATTCTAAAGAACAACTTGCCTACTTAACAACATATTTTAATGACTTACCGGTAACATTACAATCATATACTTCTTGTTATTATCCACATTATTGCCTTCAGATGCGTCTACCTCGTTGAATTGTGTGGCTTTTAAATATATATTAGCCATACATACCTCCTAAAAATTACAAATTAAATTAACGTCTATAAAGACGATTCACAAATATATACCTATAATACCCATAAAATAAACACACCGATAATAATACATTTAAAAATAAGGCACCAAATTTATTTGCTTGACTGTGAAGCCGGAGCATTTTCTACGTAAAAACGTTTTCTAATTAATTTCCACTTATTTCTACCTGTAATAGAAACGACACGGATTATCTTTATTGCATGAATGTTAATAGTTTTTCAGCAATTAATATTTTCAGTAAGTTCAAGAGAGTTAGACTTTCTTTTGAAAACTATTTTTAAATTGTTGGACTAGCTTAATAATTTTATAGACAATAATCGATTGTTATGACCCGGAAAACGTTTTTTTTGCCAATGTATTCGACCAAATTTGATAAAAACAGTTCTGTGTTTTGTAAGTTAATCTTAAAAGATAGATATACAGTTGCGCAGCGCACGTGAAGGAAACCCTTCAAGATTCCCCTTTTTTCCCCACTGTCTTCACTTCTATAAGCCGCAGCCTGATATTCTATAGCCTAAGCCTTCTTTTATAAATGGCCCAACCGTCATAAAAAAATATTTTTAAATTCGAGCTTGTAGTTCCCTCGATTACCGCGTTTTAACAAACAAACTCATCAGCTTTATTATATTGGTATAGATTTATTTCCGATGCCTTTTTAAAATCCTTTTAACTTTTTAATGAATGGGTGTGTTACATTGGTCTTGTTGTGTCGATAAGTGTAGGTAAACAGAACGTTGATCAAGTAATCTATTAGAACACCTACTTAGTTATTTTTTTTATTTGACGGGTTTTTGGTGTAATTGAAGCAATGTATAGCTGATCAACAGGTAGTGTGCTTGATCCCCACCAGGTCGAACACTTTTCCGATCAATATTTAATTTTATAATTTTATTATATATTATGCATATTGGCCGTCATGAAATCTGGATGTTAATGGGATGGTAAGGATATCGAAATTCCGTCTGGATCCACCGTCCACAGATAAAGAACCGTCAAGTTTAATCGCGTTTCGATTTTAGTCTTTGGATTTCCAAATATCTAAAGAAAAGCCAAAATAGGTCGAGAGCGCATCGTGTTCCAATATTATATGGCCAGGGTATTTCACTAGCATCAAGTCAGGCCCACGCTTTTCTGTCGTCCTCTATCATAAAAATATTAATGTAGGTATGTATAAAAACACTTTTTTTACATAACTTTATTGACATACTTAAAACCTTATTTCACACTCGTCATAACATTCCTCTCGGAAGTATCTGCGCATCTTCCTTGAGCATTCCCATCTGAATATCCTGCACACGTGTCTGTAGGCGCTACGACATGCGTAGACGCATTTCTTTCGTGCTCTTTTTATGGATATGCTGTCACTGAGTTTGTATGTCGTCGGCTCGTTAGGAGGTTCGGAGTCTGAAGATTCCGAAGTGTTTCTAAGACTTTCTTTTGGATATTTTTTGTCTTCTAAGACCTCATGATTGCCTGATTCCTCATCCTTACGCTCTTCTTGACTATTCTGTAAAATATGATCTTATACCTACTATCAAAGGTCGTATTTTTTTTTGTTAAGAAGGGCAGACAAACACGGGGTTGACTTGATGGTAGGTAAATACCCCAGCCATATGACTACAAGATGCTCTGTAGATGACCTATTTTGGACATCGGAAATCCGCAGACTTTAAACGCTATTAATCTTGATGGCTTTTTTATCTGTGGACGGTGCTTCGCAAACGGACGTTTTCCGGATATTCCTACCACCCATTTATATCAGATCTCCAGACAGTCCAACGTATTTCAGAAAAATAATAATTCGATTAGAAACACGTGGCCATTGATAATTAGCCATACATTGCTACCACCAACGAACTCCTTTCACCAAAGAGCCTGTCGTATGGACAGAGTAACTAAAGCTACTTTTAATCACTAAAAAAATCATGCTTTCATATACCAGCGTTTTCTTTCTTACAATTATTGTGTGGGTAGAGCCGCGTGCACAATATAAAGTATCGATCAAATAGTATTTCAACAATTCTAAAAATCTAAAATCTAAAAATATTATTATTTCTGTGAAAAAAAAAAGATAATGTGACAATACAAACCTTAACAATTACTATAGCAAAGTTTTCCTGTGGTCCCTCTCTTAATAGTGATCGAAAGAGTCCGTTGTAATTAAAATCATTAAGTTTTATCATTTTATTTATAGTCTTCATCCGTTCCTCATTCGCATTAATCAAAGAATTTAGCAATGATCCATATTTTTGATGAGAGTGATTCCATTTGAGGTCATCTGTAGATGAAGGCTTTAAAACCTAATATAATTATTTATTATTTATTACAACGAAGAGAAAAGCCTATAATAAACTCACAGATTTCATGGAAAACAATTTGAAAAAAAAAAACATATTAAACAATCGTTTATTTAAACAGTCAATGTAACTTACCGTTAAGTAACAATTATATATTACAAGTCAGTAATTTTTATATTATACAAATCTTACCGTGGCTAAAAATATAATGCTAATTCCTAAAATGTACAGTACCATTTGTGTAAGTCAAACAACTTTTCTGTACTAAAAATTAATGTGTGTACATTTTATAGCTTTGAAAATTAAATTCAAGATTACATTTACAAATACATTTGTTGTTACATGCGGTGGTCACATGTAAACATTTTTACAAGCATTTCATCCAATTTATGCATTAATTATATCTTATTGATGTCATTTTCTGGGACTTCGATAGAAGGCCAGCAGATCAGTCCACTACGTCTGTCGACCATTGCACCTATTTACCCTTCCCACCTTAGCAGAGGATGACATTTTATATAAAATATTTAGTAGTAACTACGTTGAACTCTGTTTATAGTTTGCTGTATTTAATATTTTCTTGCCACACATAGCACAGATTCCCTTCTTGTATGCACAAGGTTGGCAGTAATGTGATCCAACTTGATGCACTTTTGTTCGGCATATCCTGAAAGAAATTTAGATCTAGTACAGTAGATTCTAGTAGTAGTAGATTTCACATTAGGTCATTTTAAGCCCTGTTTTGAGAATGATGATAGATATTGTCATTGTCAAACAGAGAGAAGAATAATCTTGTTGCTTGTCGTTGTTGCTACATAACAATGAAGCCTTGTCTGTAGTTTTCGTCTGATGTCTTTACTGGACCTTTAACTTATTTATTTGTGTATTGAGGCACCTTAGTGATAAAAAATCATTTTTCCAATAATTATGCTGCAACTGTTTTTTGAGAGAAGGGTTCTTTACTTACTTGCACTCATGAAATTTAGAAGTATATGGGTTATATCTTCCTTTCTTAGCTGTTAAAGCTTTGTTTTCCCCAACTTTTCGTCCTCCAGACTCGACTGTATTTCTTGCACCGGTTTTCCAAGGGTCCGGTGTAATAACTCTACCTAACTTTTTCTCACATTTTTCACACACCATTGTGTTAAGCTTTGGGTTTTGATTTGTTAATATGTATTTTTATTTACTGATTCACCAACATTCGCTTACACATGCTAAAGTTTGTGAAGATCAATTATATTCGAATAGTGACAGTAACTATTTCGCTGAGTAAGTAATAATTTAGAGAAATACTATCAAATAATACTAATAAACAAACAAAATATATATGGCGCGTACTAATAATTATAATATTATGTACCTTCACTTTGACATTGACAGTTTTGACAAGACCAATTTTCGCTACAGACAATATATGCTGTTTTCTAAATAATGACTAAAATAAATGAACATGAATGATTACTACTAATATTATTAATTGTTATAGATCACTTCTAGTATGATATTCTTTGATACTATTTTAGGTATGATGAAATGACCAGTGAGAGCAGGCCAAAAGATAAAGTGTCCGGGGGCCACCGAAGGAACCCAATCCATATCTTTTAGGAACAACTTTCATGAGAATAAAAAATATATCATAGAAAATATAAAAACATAAAAAATATGACAAAGCTTTTATTATTTTATATATATATTATCTATGGAGAATTCGTGAAACTTATTGACAGCTGTACACAAGTTTTGACAATTGTTATGTTGCGATGCAAATAATTGCAAATTGAGAATTATTGTGACAAAATTAATAAACTTTCGCTTTTATTTTGATTATTGGTAAAATATGTTTAAATCAGTTTTATTGATCCAGATTTAGTGCAATTGTGACAAACTGAATAGTGAAAGATGGAAAGCAAGTTACTTATCAACAATCTTGGGTAAATTCTTTGTAAACAAATAGTAATTTCTTGTAGACATATTGCTTGACCTCCTTTCTATAATGGACATTTACAATTTACATGGTCTAATGTCTTGCTGTATCTCGCTTTAGGGTCTACTTAGCTCTAGAAAGTACTAAAGTCAAGTAAATATATTTCTTAATACTACTCTGTCCTACTTAATTGTAGGTATTTTTGACTTAGACATCATACAGGGTACTTTTCCATAGTGCCAAATTAAAGTTTACTTTAAGACCAAATTACTACTACCTACAGCATTTAATTATCCACCGGCAAGTTACTAAAACCACTCCATTTTTTATTTTTATTTTCATTGAATAAAATAATAAACTGATGTCTGTAGGAGAATAAAAAACATAAAGACTTGGCATGTACTTAAAACTTCCTCAATTGCACAACAAAACATTTCAAACCTTTGTTTTTGCAACAGTTGATATATATAATTGGATTTACCAGGTATCCAGTGCTATTTTTACAATAAATATTAAAATGCTTCTTTTCTAAAATATAATAATATAGAAATAGAAAAGTTGTTGGTAACGAAACAGGAAAGACTACATTTTTCTGTATAATGGTAGTTAGTATTTATAATTTTGACCATCTGTTTAACTTAATTGGGTCTCTGTTACACATTCAAACATGCAAAATTTCTTGATAAACAGTAATTACAAAGGCTAGGGTTGCGACAATACATGTTACATAATTATGATGGATAATGTGTATTTAATTGTTTTGTTTCCTAATTATTGATATTAATAAAATTACCATTTTTTAAGTATGTTTATTTCAGTGTGTTGATACAAAGTGTACACACACTTTGTATCAACACACTATGATCATAATATGGGGCTGCTAGAGAAAAAATGTCCTAATAACAAAAAACAAGATTTGCAATAAGGAGGAAAATAAAAATGCGCAATTAACTTGGGTGAAAATGAATTTCTACTATTATTTGTGTAAGAATTATATCAACAGTTTGTGTCACTGTGATATTGTAGATTAACATTTTTAGACTACAAAAATATATCAAATTACAGTTAGGCTACTCTGCCTCTAGCGGTAACATATAAACTTACTTTGATTCATGTTCATAACAAAATTTCACAATTGGTGACTTCCTAAAAGTCAACATTGCAACCCTAATGAAGTAACCATCCGCCTGCTGGTGCAAAGTTCAACACCTATCGCTACGTCACTGCTTGATAGCAGTCCGCCCTCCTCGCTCTTCAGTTTGCTCAGTGCGTGCGCGAGAGTGCGGCGGTTCGCATGCGCCGTAGATCAGTTGTGACGTAGGGAATGAACATTTGACTCACTCCATTGTGTTAGCAAAATGAAGGTGGACAAAGAATCCCTCGCCGGTCCAGTGGACTCTAAACCTATTTTCGTCGACAGGAGCATGAAGGTGACGATCACACCAGCTCAGCACAAGACCCTGACGCACCTACCCAAACGACCCCCAGTGGATTTAGCTTTCACGGACCTCACTTACAAGGTGCAAGAAGGAAGAAAAAGCAGTAAGTGCAAGATTCCTTTGTTTTGACTTCGCGCTGAGAATACTTTATAAAATTTGTTGAAGAATTAAATTCACATGTTGAAGGCAAATTTTGCATTTTTTTGCCATAATAATGAACTTTTGTTTGTATTCAAAAATGTAAATTTTCTATATACCTACGTCAATGATATTCTCTGATTACTTCTAACGATGTCTTTATCGTCGCCTGTTATAATTAAATGCTAAGAGGAATTGTTTTGTAATTTTCCTTCGACGATAAATTGACGATAAGTATTTTATCGTAGATCCGGAATATTGAGTAACGTTTTAAATACCAGTAATCAAATCACAATAGATATCCTACTGCTATCAGGTCCGTGATTTTAAGATATTTTGGGTCAATGACGACCCAACCCAGCGTTCTGCTTAATTCCTTTTTAGCCCACGATACCTTTTTCATTCGAGATGATCAGGATCTTGACAAAAGTAATTCGATGTAACAACAATACAACATCGCATAAAGTAAAGAATAAAATATGATTGTATAATTTTTTATTTCATTCAAATAAAATCCTTCGAATAATATTATTCTGTGTCACTATTGTATATATTTGTGATTGCCAAAAGTTGTTTTTTCACTATTGCCTTTTATAATTAGTCGATTATTTGTCGTTATATCCAATATTTCACTGGTATATGCACGAACTTTTGACTTTTTTTGCACGACCGAGAATCGTACTTTTGACCAATTCGGGTCCGTACTAGCTCTCATAGGTTTTAGTTACATAACACTATAGATCAATCCTTTAAGCTTTTACAAAAGCGAATTGACTATGACTTGATAATAGTCACATTTGGTTTCAAGATGTTGATAAAAATTTCTATTGCTCTGAAGAAAAGAATGGTGTTTCCGTTCCCAATGATGTTAGTAATATCAATCACTACGAATCTGATCGAAATCTTAAATTCTAAAGAATTGTGATAGAAGACATTTGGCCCAGCAAAGAGAAAATAGCTTAAATACTGTCTATAGTTTACGCGAGTAGTACACATTTAAATAAAACACTTCTCACGTGGTCACGGTCTCCCCGTGACCATGGCTGCTGCAAAGCATCCGAAACATGGGGCCGAAGTTAAAAATCATTTTCAAATAAGTTTCACTAATATATCGCGTTTTAAACCGTTAAAGTGTTTTATTTAGAAAATAACTTATTATGTAACAATTGCTTATAAAACTTGCTATTTTTTACCTCAACCTATTAATGTAATTAACATGCTAATGCCTTTTAAAACATTACATACAATTTGGAGTGACGATCTGGCTTTTAGGTAGAAATGGTCCTAACAGTGCTTGGGCTTAGTAGGTAGACAGACTTTTTGGAAGTAATAAGATTATTTGTTTCACTTCTTAGATAACTAGATAAACCGTACATATTTTTTTTGATATGAGGGTATTCCTTTCCCTAAAGCCAGTCTTTAAAAGCTCACATACTCTTTCTTATCTTTTCAATTTACACTAGGAAGCTTCATACGGAAAATTTGGCTCCCATTTTTTGACTTGTGAGGGTCATATTTGGCTAAAAGTTTATCGACCTCAGGTATAACTTATTATAGAAAGGCAACACACACAAACATTAAGACCTTTTTGCTATGTGCAATAATCAAGAAACGTTTTAAAATATTCAAAAATCCTATTCGCATCTTGATATTACCTTAAATTAAACTTGAGGAAGTCGTTTACCTTTTATTCTTGTTTCAATGTCAGCGTATGGAAAATATATTCATTCGGGTTTTAAAAGTTGTTAAAAAGTTGTAAGATGTAAAATATATTTACAATGTAAATATTATTTAAAGGTATCACAATAAATATATTATGTGTATGTGTTAATAGTAACAGCCTGGTAATTGTATTTAAAAAAATGTTGAAATAACATATTTTAATGCGTATGTACAGTAAAGCAATCAAATGTATTGTAAAATTGTTTAAGAAAATCGTCATCCAGACTAACTTCCAAAGCCTCCTTCGATAAATGTTCTAACAAATACAAAAAGATTTTTTCAATTCGATTCGAATTACAGTAGTTCCTAAAATTAGCGCATTTAAACAAACAAACAAACTCTTCAATTTTATATATTAGTATAGATGGATATACTTGGTAACTTCATTTCCACCATTAAAAGCTTGCAATATTTTTGACGTCTTAATGTTAAACTAGCAATGTTTATCTTAGAACCGCGATTGCGTTATTTGTTGCTAAGTAATCACATGATAATCATTTATAACCTATCTTTAATTATGCCATTCAGGTACATAAGAATCTATACTTGTTAATTGATATTTTTCATTACATTACATTTAAAACAACATATATATGCATAATGATAGTACGTAAATGTTATCTTTAACACTATATCACGACTTCATTAATTGTTCTTTAACGAATACTTAATAAAGATATTTTAAAATAAATTGTTTTTTTTGTTCACCAGAAGAATACGTAAAGTCTTGCTTACTTAAATTCGAGATATATTTTATGACAGAGGCACGGGGTGGGGTGGGGTACACTTGAAGGGAAGTAAAATGATCTAACCATTTAACATCTATCAAGAAACGCTGTTTACATAATTATATCGATATTCGGAAATCCACAGACTAAAAACCGTAACACAAATAAACACTATGGAGCCCGTACGTAAACCAAACCGAATTAGATACAAATTTAAAGCTTCAGAAAAAAAATCGTCTCTATACATAGTGACATTTTATTGTTAATTTTATTTCATAGAATAATTATTATATGTTCTCACACACCATAATATATGGCCGCTAGAGGCAGAGTAGCCTAACTGGGTTAGATATATTTTTGTAGTCTAAAAATATTAATCTAAAGAGCAACAATGATCGACAATTGTTAATTTAATCTTGACACAAACAATAGGAAAAATTTATTTTCGACTAAATTCATTGCTTTCATCATGTTTTTTGTTATACGGCCACTCTGCCCCTAGCAGCCTCATATGATCTCTGCACGATGTCAAATGTTTCTTAATATAAGTATATTCTTAGTAAATATCGTTGAGAGCACTCAACAGAATGTCATCGTGAAATCTTTACAAAAACAAGGTCTTGCAAGGTTGTGACGTTACTAATACAGGTTTGAAGTAATTAATCAGCCCGTTATACCAGTTCTGCTATTCTGTATTATTTGAATCTAAAAATTATTATAGCTAAGAAAATGATTTGGTTATAATTTCGTTAATATTGTTTGGTTAAATATGTTGTAATTGACAAAACTTAGGTTTCGATAGGCGCGTTGGTATAATGGTACAATGTCAAATAATAATCGAGGGGTCGAGGGTTCGATTCCCACTGGATTCAACTTTTTTCTAAACAATTTATTTTTTAATGTTTCTGAAACATGTTGGACTTCGACTGTAGTAGAACATCAAAATTTCAGTGTGGTTCACGGACCACCGTCTACCGATGAAAGAGCCGTGAAGTTTAATCACAGTTAAATAAAACACTTTGACGGTTTAAAACGCGATATATTAGTTACTTAAACCGTACTTATTTAAAAATCAAATTATTTTAATAGCAGAATCTGATACCGCATTTAAATAAATTTTAAAACTTGGGGGTAGTTTTACTCGTTTACACCAATTTGTGGATTTATCAATCAATTCGTTGATCAGTGCGCAGTTCCCAACAATGTCAATAATTCGTCTGTATCCTGTTTTGATTGTAAAACAAATAATCTTATCGGTTTATTGAAAGATGATATATAGACAGGGGTGTGTTGTGTATTATATCAGTATAAGTCGTGTAAATTATTTCTAATGTAACAACGTCAAATACGTCTAAAAAAATATCGTGTTTCAAATATTACAGTAACTCGATAACTCGAATCGGAATATTCTTAAGCGATAACTTCAATTTGCGATCACTGCTGACATTTTGACATTGTTAACTACTTAGGTCCAGAGTTTTTAATATGGGATCCCAGGTGTTTGATAGTTTGAGGCCGTTTCAATAGGGCGGACGGCGCGCGAATATATCGCGTTTTAAACCGTTAAAGTGTTTTATTTAAACCATACAATTTTAATTCTGTTAAGTAGTTCTCGAAATAAGCGCGTTAAATCGAATTCATTAGCTTCATAGATGTTGTTTATTAATTTTAAGGAACTAATGTTATACTATGAGTATCTATGCATTTAAAATCGCATAAACATTGAAAGAGACACGGTCGTTACAATATGAGTGACGTCTAAATTGGTCATTTATTGCATAATCACTTCTCGTAATAACAACATGTTGTACACAATATGCGGTGTTTAGTTTCGCCACTAACTAATCATTTGTGCTGCGTCCATCCTGCTATAACGCATGTACTAATAGTATTAAATGACGCGTAAAACAACCCGATGACGAAGCATTTTATCCAAATCGTTTTCCTCAATAATCAGTTGACGGGAAAGCTCTGTAGAAAATATGAGGAATATGTTGAAACCGTTTTCGTCAAGTTTTTACCTAGATAACCAATAAACACGGAATTTGAAATCGGAATGGAATTTTGTTTGTTTGTTTGAACGCCCTTATTTCAGAAACGAATGGTTCGAATTGAAAAAAATATATTTTTGTGTTAAGTGAGTCATTTATTTTGGAGGGCTTAGCTAAACGTCGACGAATGGGAGAGAAGAAACAGTGGGAAATGTGGGAAGACACGGAAAATTCTGATCTTTGAGGGATTCCGTTGCGTTCGCAACGAAAGCGTTTCAAGATACTGGAAAAAAATCTATAATCTTATAACCTGTGTCTTTGTAAGGGCAAAGAATGTGCCATACCTATTAATAATGCCAAACTTGCTTTATTTCAGATGTTAAAACAATCCTCAAGTCGGTATCAGGGAGACTTCGATCCGGGGAGTTGACGGCCATTATGGGTCCATCTGGCGCTGGAAAGTCCACTCTCCTCAACATCCTTACTGGATACAAGTAAGTTCTATTCAGGACCTGCTTATTCTCGTACCAGTATCGTGTCAGTGTTACATACACCTAATGTTATTCTCAAGTTCAGCTTAGCGGAACTCATTTACATTTTTTCTCACTAAAAACAACACAAAGAAATAATATATTGTTATTCTATATATTGTTATATTAGCATTTTAATATTAATAATCATCTTTTAATTCCGTCTGTATTCTTTAAATAATATACTTTTTACGGTTTTGATGGCGGTGTAATAGTAGCAATGTACATAAAGCTAATAATCAACGAGGTGTGGTTTGTGGGTCTAACATGTTTCTAATCAATAGATTTTTGGAATGTCCGAATATCCAAAGTCAAAACTAAATACGTCGACAATGCACGTTAAGCTGTGATTTTATATGGCTTGAGTATAATTACATTTAAATAAAACACTTTAACGGTTTAAAACGCGATATATTAGTTAAACTTATTAGAAAATGATTTTTAACTTCGGCCCGACGTTTCGGATGCAGCAGCCGTGGTCACGGGGAGACTAAAGATGGACGGATGGATGGAGGATGGCTGTCCATAGTATTTAGTATAATCACATTCCATCAAGTCTATCTTCTGTCATAAAAACGACGTGAGGGTAAGGTTAGGTCAGCAGTAGCAATATAGCAGCCGTGTTCATGTCTCAATGATAATAATTTTATACCCAAAAAAATGTGTACTACCCACGTAAACTACAAACAGTATCGGTGTTACTTTGTTGTAGGTTTTTATCAATTAGACGCAAGTATCATTCAACTTGACATTGGCTTAAACATTAAAACCACAGCAAATTAGGAAATGGTCAATAAAATGGGATTCATTTAATCAATGTTCGTTTGTAGTAATAAACGGGTTGCAGGCATTGTACTGTATATAAGTTGAGAATGCAGTCTTTGAAATAAGCATGCCTCCATTTCAATAATTACTTACTAGCTTATAAAGTAAAATACTATTTCTACTATTTTGTTATCAAAAGATTTTAGTCACATAATTTGATGACTACACTTTTACAGAGATTTATTATATAATGTGTTATTACTTAATAAAATTAGAACTGACATCCCGTGGGGCATGGACACATTTCTGTGTCCGTTTTACTGATCGTTTCTTTCACAGGCAAGTCGTTGATTATACTTCAGTGCCCCGCCCGAAGAACCTATCAATTCCCTGGGATTAGAACCCAGTTCTTCTAGGGCTTAACGCAATAACAAATATTGTGGCATAAAAGTTAAAACAGACTTGAGTATATTCAATGGTGTTAATCACAGTCCTGTATATACTCCAAGGTTCTAAGTTCGCCTTGTCTGACATGGTCATTGGTGCTGGCAGCTTTGAAGTTGTACAAACATCCCAGGGTTCCCACGAAAGCACTGTAGCGGTCTGGTGGTGTATTTAGTGGTTCTGGTCGACTCTTGTCTTCGGTGGTAGTACCAACCAGCTCGAATACGCAGGGCATGACCATGGACTAATGTCCGACGTGGTTTAGTTAAAAATGGGGGTTATAATATTTGCATCCCAATGATGAGGTATTTCTAAACGATACAATTTTAAAAAATCTTAGAATATATGCGTGTGTTTTTATTGCGTAGTACCTAATTTTGTATTTCGGGACCTTCTCCACATCAAAGTTTTAGTAGTGTTTTTTAAGGAGCCACGGAGTACCACGTAACTTTCTCTTGGAACAGCGTAAATAAATGTTCGAGGTAACTATGGTGAAAGTAATTTTGCGCTATCACGCTGGTTACCTAGATTTGTAAATTTTCCGTTTCGCATTTCTAAAGTTGTGTTTACTACTTCTGGTTATGGCGTTTCAACGTGTGGTCTCAAAACTTTATACGGCTTTTAAAAACTACAAAGTGCAAATTAAGACTAGTAATTAAATCAAGACGGCTTTAGTAATTGTGTAACTGTAGTTTGGGAACTGACCGCCTCTGTAGGCAAATGGTTAAGCCTATGGGGGTTCGAATCCCAGGGAAACAAAAAATGCTTTCGGTAGGGCAGGGAACAGAAGTCTGAACTACTTGTTGTACTGTTAAAGAACGGATCAGTATAACGGACACAAAAATGTGTTCGCCCCATTCCCCTCGAGGGGGAAACGGGATTACACACACAATTTGGGGACTGTTGAGCAACTTCACGGGCACGTTGGTGGGTTCCTCACGTGGTCCAACATTTTTCTAATCAATTTATATTCTTCTGAAACGTGTTGGACTTCGTCTCGACTCGGTAGTCTAAAATGTCGTTTGTGATACTCTGCAGGATTAAGGAGTCTAACATAATACTAAAACTATGATTTATCTTCCTTCATAATCAATTATGTTCTTGAATGTGTTAATCGGATTAATTGTTATCTAGTTGTTATTAATAGTGTTTAATTGCGCCGCGGAGTAATGGCGATTTCAAGGATGTACCCACGTCTATTTGTTTCCTTATATCTGTGGCGAAAATATGAATGATCGCGAGGGCACTAAAATTGCGCATTTTGTGATCTTTCCAAGCGCCATTTTAGGGTTACCTATTCACATGGAATTGACATTGACATATTACAATGTCAGACCTTTCAAAAATTTCTGAACCAAATTTTTTGTAACATCTTAGACGTATGGATATTCAATATAATAGTAGTAGGAATACAATTTCCGAATATCCAAAGCCAAAATGAGTCGACATCGCATTTAATTTTGATGTTAATAAGGGTGACGAAAAAACCGTGGAGTTTAATCTCGTTCGGTTTCAATCTGTGGATTTCCTTATTACCATAGACAAAATAGGTTGACAGCGCATTTTGTTTGGATGTTATATAACTAGGGGTATTACATCTACCATCAAGAAAACCTCACGCCTATCTGCACCAAAACTACTTGAAATAAAAACAATAAATGTGTGCCCCATATCCCACCTTAGGAAATGGGATCACACACACTCACACATTTCAAAAGGTAGTGTTATAACAGTTTCGCGTATTGCAAAAGATTTGCTTAGCGTATTGCATGTACAGAAACCGGACTCTACTTATCTAGCCATCCGTCTTAATTTAGGTCATGCGGTCAAATGTTCTTCACAACGTACTTGCAAATATGTCCTTAATTAATGATTATAGATTTTTAATTATATACACGTAACATTGTGTTTACATACGACGCATTATTCATATTAGATTATTTGTCAATGAGTACTTTCGCTGATATATTTACGGAGAAAAGGTTAATCAACACTAGAGTTTATAACTATCTGCTTTTTTAAATAAATCATTTTTAACAGTTTATAACGGCAAATATATTATGTATTAGTTGAGAATTTACTTTATTTACAGCCAGACGTATCTGATGATTTGCAGTGACCGTGGTCATAGGCCCTCCATAACCATATTTAGCGTTTTAAAAGTGTTTTTTGTAAATGTAAACTATACAGAACTTGTATAATGAACAACTAATCCACTACTCCATTAATTTTAGAGTATTGGTACAGTTATCAATGGAAACGATTCTTGCTAAGTTATACAATGATTTCGCAACTGATTGCGTCAGTAGGATTAGGAAGGGAGTTGTGTCCATACATGAATCTTTAACCAACTTTAGTACGACGTTTTGATACTAACTCAGTTTGACAAATAATTTGTATTATTGCATTGTTTTCGATCAAATTCGATTAACGTAAAAACTGTTCTCGCGAGTTAATCTTAAAAGATATACTCTAGGCCCTTTTTAGATAATTTAAATAGGAATTATACTTTCATACTTTTTTTCTTGAAAGATAAATAAATTGCTCTGTTTTCCACATTTTCCGCAGCTTAATGCCTCTATAAATGGTCCCACCAACACAAAAATTATTTTCAATTCGAAACTTCGAGTAGTTTTTGAGATTGTATTGTATAAGTTTTGATAAATAGAATAATCTAATCGATATTGTAGTGTTGTTTAGTAATTAGAATAAACATATTATCCTCAAATGATATTTACTCTAGAAGATTCTAAAGACAAACTTATAATATTGTTTACATACGCTAATAACGCTACTTTAAACTAACTAAATAAATGTTCAAATAAAACACTTTAGCGATTTAAAACAATATATATTAGTTAAACTTAATTGAAAATTATTTTAAGTGGCGTGGTCACGAAACCTTGCTCCAAAGCATCCGTAACGTCAGGCTGTAATTAAAAGTTATTTTCAAATAAGTTCAACTTATATTGTTAAAATGTTATTCAAATGTGTACTACTCGGGTAAATAGAGACTACTTACATATTTAGAAAAAAAAACAATATAATGTTATATGCGTGAATTTACTGGCTCGCGGCCTTGTTGGTTCAATGTTATCATGATTCGATTCAAACCTATAACATAACATCAAAAAATCTCCATTTTCTTAAACATGTCAGACTTAGTTTGAAAAATCTGGAAGTGGTAGGAAGAACGAAACTCCGCCTGGGGCACAAACCAACCTGTACGGGAGGACGTCACCACAGTTCAGTAAAGTAACCGTGTATTGGTTTTAGAATTAACAGATCAGGCCAAGATACCACCTTTTGAAATGTTATATGGCTAGACCTTCTCTGTCATAAAAAATGTTCAAGAATAACACCTCGACCATGACTCTTAAAATATTTTAACCACTTTCAATTGACTTTTCCGCAAATTTATTCAGCAATGGACTTCGCATTTCCGACTCCTTTTTAGGTAATACCAATTTGTGTGGGCTTTCGTAGTACTTTAAATTCAATTGTTCACCTCGCCCTTGAACGAACCTCGTTCATTTGACAGTATGTATGACCCGAGTTATGGTTATTACGTGGTGTATTATCTGCTTTAACTATCTGTCATGTGTGTGTGTGTGTGTGTGTGTGTTTGTGTGTGTATGTTTAATAGTGATTACTGTTATGGTATGTAACACACAGCTTAACACCACGTACAGATAAAATTCATACAAAATACTTGTGTTTATTGACAGACAATCTTCTTTTAAATAAATTTTTAAAAAAGTTGTATATTAGTTAAACTTATTTGAAAATTATTTTTAACTTCGGCCCGACGTTTCCACCTCTCCAGTCAAGTCTCGCCGTGACCAGGGCTGCTGTAAAGCATCCGAAACATGGGGCCGAAGTTAAAAATAATTTTTAAATAAGTTTCACTAATATATATCGCGTTTGAAACCGTTAAATTGTTTTAAATGTGTACTACTCGCGTAAACTACAGTCAATATTTAGACAATCTTTCTTAAAACTTCTGTTCTGTGAATGCATTTTGGCCACTTTTTGAACATGTGTAATTAAATAGCCATGTTGCTAAGTAAATATTTGTTTTTTTTTTACGACAGAGGAGCGAATATGAGCATGGCGGCCTCCTTTTTTTATTTAACGCCAGTTTGTCCCATTATACAAACCTGTGTGATATACATTTTTTTTCAATTGCCTTGAAAATATTACTTCAAACTGCGTAAATTACTATTTTGCTTATTTTTCAACACACATTACATAACATCGATAACAACAAAACGTTGAGCCGTAGTTAAATTCAAAATAACTTAACTAACATATTTCGCATTTTAAACCGTTAAACTGTTTAATTTTAACAATAATAAATTCAGGATAAGCATTTAAGCAAATGTGATAAGCAATGCAAGATTTGCGTTTTAAACCGTTTAGCGTAGTCTTGCTACGGACACTACTTAAATGGGCAAATTAAAACACATATAAACCCTGAATTTCTTAGCGTTTTTTTTTGCAAGTATATATATATAGTAGGTAAATCATTCCAGCAATTATGAGACCTCGGAAGTCATGTCGAACACCTTGAACCGTGTGACGTGAATACACATATAAGCGGAGCAGAGTAACATAATTAACATTTTGCATTTAGTTTTAAATTATGTTAATTATAAAGTATCGTGAAAATATTCTTATGTACAGTATTTTTTTCAATGACAGAGGAGGACGGACTAGAACGGGGTTTTACTTAATGGAAAGTCTTCATGGTTTTACCCGTCATGTAATATCAATTCGGTTGCGTTGTCGACTTATTTTTATTACGGATTGATGGAGGACCTTATGAATCCCGTGTATGAATGTAGTGACCCGGACAAAATGTGGATATTTTTGCCACCCATTAAATATCCAGGTATTATAGATATTAACATGTAGAAGAAAAAATATGAATTTATTTTAGAAAGTCTTTGGACTTGGTAGGAATTGAACCCACGATGTATCTTTAGCCATAAGTGCCCGCGCGCTCGGAAGGTACAGGGTACAGCTACAAAGAAGTCAATAAACTTCAAATCCTGTTTTACTGTTGATGTGTCCTCTATACTTGAAAACTAACAGTGTTATATATAAAACAACAATAAAAGTAAATAATAATAAAGCGATAGAGATCTTGTTAGTTTCTACTTAGTAGTAGTAGTTTTTGAAACATGTTGAATTTCGTCTGGTAATCTTGGATATGACAACAGGTGGAAAGCTGTCAAGTTTAATCGCGTTTCGGTTTCAGCCTATGAGTTTCCGAATATCCGAAGACAGAATAGGTTGACAGCGCAGCTTAATTAGATGTTATAAAGTTGGGGTAATCTACCTCCGATCAAGTGAACCACACGATTCTCTGTCCTCTTCTGTCATAAAAAAGTTATTCATTATTCAAGACATAGTTATTCACGCTCTTTAATCATCTTAATATATTTTTATTTGTTTACCCGTATGTATAATATGCGGTAATTACGCAGAATTGGATGAAACAGACACGACAAATATAAATATTATTATAATATACAATACGTTGTGGGTAGAAGCATGAAATAACCTTCGATGCCACGGAGTTATCTGCGAGACATTTCCTTAAATCCATGGAATTTTTAAACCATTAAAAAATTTAAATTAATTAAGATAGGGAAAAAAAGTTGTCCTAAGATTGCTCAAGTACAAATTTATACTAAGCTGTTCCTTCTCTCCAATTGTTTACTTCACATCTTTGCCTTTGTTATTTTAGTATTTTTCTGCAACATTTGTTAATACATTTAAAGCATGTATGAAAACCAAATAAATAAATATTACTTGAATTATTTTTAATTACGACCCGTCGCGGCCGTGGTCGGGAGAAAACTAAATATGTGGGCGTAGTTTATAAAAAAGCCAAATTTGTAATGCCAGCGCCATCTGTTGACAATTTCAAAACACGGGTCTTGGACCCACGACCGAAGTGATTTGATCTATTGCAATACAAATTGATGCACTGTCTTACCAATTTTAAACATTATATTTATTGACGTTTATTTAAATAAGTGCACAGGAAGTAAAAATGTCCTTGTTTGTCCTACCGAATTTAAAGTATGTTAATTTGTCTTCCGCAATCAATGGCAACGTGTCTTACAAATATATTACTTATTATCAAATATAGTATAATTGTTCTTCATATTTTAATGCGATACTAACATAATTAGAGTTTATCAAATTGATACGACGGTGTTTTTGTTAGAATATGATTTGATTCAAGGCTGTTAGATTTTTTAACAAGATTACGAAGTACTTTGCGTTATAATGAAAAAAAAAACCGGTTTCCTAATACTAATCTCGCATTGTCCGAATTAACATGGGATTTTTCCAAGTTAAACTTTAACGTGAGTGCTCTTAAGTCTTCAAGAGCAAAAATCAACTGTCAATCTTTACTTAGCTCGTGTCGCTCTGGGCGTCATTCAAATTCAAACCATTTATTTCACAATAGATTATTATCATAATAAAATATATACGTTTAATTCTAATAATAGTACTTGGAATACTGTTAACGATAAATCAAAAACAAATAATGCATACAAAACGTAGGGTCGCAGTAACGTATATTAACGTTAACATATTTCGCGTTTTAAACCGTTAAAAGTATTTCATTTAAATGTACTATTTGCGTGAACTACAGACAATACCATAAATGAGTTCTTGTGAAATGGGAGAAAGCATTCGGTTAGTGCATCACTACCTAAAGTAAAGTAGCATCATATAATATATTCATAAAAACCCAGGGGTAAGAAAGAAAAGAAGTGAAATAAATTGAACAAAGTCTAATTGTCCTACAAGAAGACTATAAAAATAATACCTATAAGAGTACAAACATTGTCAAAATGTAGGCTAAATAATTACAATTTGTTTATTACTACGTGTAGAACTTAAATAAGAAATAAATAACCTATTTATTAACAGAAAGTACAAAAACTAAAGTAATAAAATTGAAACAATTAAAAAGGAAAAGTTTAACTTTGTGCTAAAAGACATCAGACTCAGTTTGTGCTCAGCAAGGCTTTCTAAGCGCTGATTTTCAGTCTGTACCTTATCAGAAATGAAAGTTTTCGGAAAAGCCTTATTCTTAAATCTTACTTCAGAACCTCGGGCATGGAAGGCAGCATCACAGTCAACGGAATGGAGCGAAATCTGTCCAGCTTCCGCAAGCTCTCATGTTACATCATGCAAGATAACCAGCTGCACGGAAACTTGACTGTGGAGGAGGCCATGAAAGTGGCGACTTCCTTGAAGCTCCCGAGTGCTACCACCAAGGAGGATAAGGAGGAAGTGGTAAGATCCTTATTTTAGTGGAAATACATTTTTCTTATTCTAACTTTAGGGTTTTAATTTGTTATCCCTTTTAAAATACGGTTCTGAACGGTAGCTCAATTGGCTAGTACTCTGTGGATGCTGTGTTTCAAGTGCTGTCCACACAAAACTAACGTACTCAATACTTTTGAATCTATATCAATTTCACTAAATGCTCTGATTACCTTCTAATAAGTGTTCCCATAATTTACGCAAGTTGAACACTTAAAATAAAACATATCACACGGTTTAATGATGTATTCATTTTTACTACGATTCGACGTTGATGAGTTAGGTTTAGCTGCTCTCAGAGCCATTGCTAAAGTAGTAGGACAGTAGATAAAATGAAATAATATAACACTTTGTGTTTAAGTCGTTAAGATTGTGTTTTTATAACATACGGTTTATTTCCATGACGATTGAAAACTTTTATATTTTCACATGTTGCACTAAATACTGTCTGTAGTTTACGCGAGTAGTACACATTTAAATAAAACACTTTACCACCTAGTTTTGCCAAATACCAACTTCGACGGAACCGATGGCGGTAGCGTAGCAGTTTTTTTACCTTGACGTCAGAGACATCCCCCATCTTTAGTCTCTCCGTGACCACGGCTGCTGCAAAGCATCTGAAACGTTGGCACACGAGGCCGTCAAAATATTAATATCGTTTCTTAACTTAAAACCAATTTTCATATTCCAGATCCAAGAAATCCTGGAAACCCTGGGTCTATCTGAGCATCTCAAGACCATGACTTCTAATCTCTCGGGTGGTCAGAAGAAGCGTTTATCCATAGCCCTGGAGCTGGTCAACAATCCACCGATTATGTTCTTCGATGAGCCGACATCTGGTCTAGATAGTTCTTCCTGCTTCCAATGCATCTCTTTGCTGAAGACGCTGGCCCGGGGTGGAAGGACCATTATTTGTACCATTCACCAGCCTTCTGCTCGTCTTTTTGAGATGTTCGACCACTTGTACACGCTGGCTGATGGTCAGTGTGTGTACCAGGGCAGCACTGGACGACTGGGTTAGTATCTTTACTTTAAAAAAACATTTTACTTAAAATATTTTCTATTTTAATTTTTAATGATTTAACTTCAACTTTGAGACTATAAGCTTTGAAAAGTGTTGCATGTAGTTTACACGGGAAGTCACATTTCTATAAAACAGTTTAAAACGCGAAATATTTAAGTTAGCCGGTAAGAAACATCGGGTCGTAGTTAAAAGTAACTTACGCTTCACTATTGAAACCGGTAAATCGGTTTGATTTATTATATTCTTTTATTAAGTTGTTGATTAGGGGATTATATAACTTATTAAAATTAAATTATTTACTGTTATACCGTGGCGGGTTCGCTGTTACGATAGTCTTTGTTGACCTTTTATGAAGTTTATTATCGCGTCTCATCTATCGAGTTTCTCGAGTGTTCGGTTTATACCGTTCAGTATTTCGTAGAAGAGAATCTTAAGTAAACTTTCGGGTTTTAGAGCTCTACTGCTTGTTTTTCTGTCTGTGGTTAATAGACAAAGACAAAATAGGTCGACTATGGCCAGGGTATTTCACCTGCCATCAAGGGAACCCCGTGCTTGCCTGTCCTACTTTATCTCGACACAGCAGCATGGCAAGCCAAGTTCAAGCGATGGAACTGGCTAGACAGCGCTAAGTGTATCCTTGTACAAACTATTTGGTGCCACTTTTGACGCTTATGTAACTTTAAACCTATTTTACGTAAACACGAAACGTGTGTTTAAGATTTCACATTTTTTAAAATAATATATTGTACATATCCAGTAGAGCAATGGAGTTTATTGTTCACAATATTATTTTGTTCCTATCAGTACATAGGATTTTGCATAATTTGAACTTACGAAATAAGGATAACCTAGCTATCCCTAAATATAGGCTCCATAAAACATCTAATTCATTTGCGGGGAATTGTATTCGTATGTATAATACATTGCCAGTTGAGGTTTCAAATTTATCGATAAATAAATTTAAGAAAGTTATAAAACCTAGATTGTCTCAAAGGCGTATTATTGTCTGAACGATTTCTTTAATGACAAGACCGCCTGGCAGTAATATGAATTGCACCTTAGGTTAATAAATTCACAATGTATTAGTTTATAAGACATGTTAAAAAAATCCGGACTGAGTTTCTTGGGTGTTCTTCTCAGTTATGTTGCCCTTTTGAACGCTCTGTAGAATCACGACGAGTAGACAGACAAACAAACATTTTTGACGAATCTAAATAAATACTGTCTATAGTTTACGCGAGTAGTACACATTTAAATAAAACACTTTAACGGTTTAAAACGCGATATATTAGTTAAACTTATTTGGAAATGATTTCAACTTCGGCCCGACGTTTCGGATGCTTTGCAGCAGCCGTAGTCACGGTCTACCCGTGACCACGGCTTATTTCCAAATAAGTTTAACTAATATATCGCGTTTTAAACCGTTAAAGTGTTTTATTTGAATCTAAATAACTTAAAATTTGAAAGAGAGAGAGAATAAAGTTTTTTTTTTCTTGGGACTCATTTAGGTCTTCATTCTTTTTACGGCGAAGCAAAGCACAATTTTTGTTTTATACTCGGCTCAACTTTTTTACATTTATGTTTTTGATGGGGTAATAAAAAAAGTCACAGTTTTTAACATCATTGCAATGCAATTGTAGCTATTAATATTCACTGGAAAATTAATCAGCGTTTAATACTTGACGGTCAAATGGTCGATTAACATAAGCTGTTTAGACATAATAGGTTCTTCGATCAAGTAGAACTGTTGAGGATCTGAACGGCTTTCCGTTAAGGCATCAAGACTTCCTTGACCTTTGTTAACGTAAATAGGAAAATGATGTTAATAGTTTAAAAGCATTTTCGTGTTTACCTTGTTACGTGTGCTAGCGGCTCCCTTTGTTCTTAAAGTAAAACTTAAATTATTTTAAGACAGCCAAGGTTCACTTGAAGGATGGTGAAACACCTCAACAATTAAATGGAACACTTTTAACGGTTTCAAACGTGATATATAATCTGATATTGCGCAGCCGCAAATCAGATTCAACTTTGACATTAGAGAACAACTCCATCTGCTGCAAAACTTCCAAAACTTAGTTTTCTAATATATTTGGCGTTTCGAACCGTTAAAAATGTGTAAATACAACGCGGTCAAATTACTTACCATAAATTTTACCATTTCCTATAATTAACTAAAAATACTTAAAAACCATTTTAACGGTTTAAAACTAGAAACATAAATATTTTAATATAGTCCGACGTTTCGGATTCTTTGCAGCAAACGTGGTCATGGGTAGACTATGGGTACTAATATATTTCGCGTTTAAGCCGTTAAAGTGTTTTATTTAAATGTGTACTACTCGCGTAAACTACAGACAGTATTTAAACTTGTCTGTCAGCTGTTTAATTTATAGTGTTCCAGGTTAATTGATCAATGTTAATCAGTATATTAATAAAGTACATAATAGTACTATGAGCTTAGTACACAACAATTACTACAAGCACTATGCTGTGAATAATAGATTCAATAATTAAACAAACTTGTGATAATCAGTAATAATGACTGATTATCATAAGTTATTTGTTGATTGATATGCCTTTAGCTTAGGTTATGTATAATGTAGAATACATGAAAGAAGGAGAGTTTTAAACACAACTTTTGTGTTACAAATAGAGTGGAGAAGGTTATTTTGATGTCACTAAGAAGTTTACACGAAGAACAAGTTACTTAAAAGTTGTTTATTTTGTCAACAGTGGAATGGCTTGGCAGTCTAAGCCTGCAGTGTCCCTCGTACCACAATCCAGCTTCCTTCATCATCGAAGTCTCGTGTGGGGAGTATGGGGACAACACTAGCAAGTTGGTGCGGGCTATCGATAATGGAAAAAACGATATTAGGTGAGTTGTCGATACTATCCTGTATGTCCTTGGCTTTTGACAGGCTTGTTGGTGTAATGGTAACAGCGTAGGGCTAATCATCAATAGATCGTGGATTTAATCATCACCACGTTGGACTTTGTCTGGATGTGAACTACATGCTTGCCTGTCCTCTTTTATCATGAAAAAAATTGCTTATTATATTCTAGAACTAAAGGAAAATGGAAGGACTTTTTTTAGGAAACGATGGGTGGGCAACTCACCCACGTCGATACCTTAACTCGACACATACGGCACGACCCACCCCACTGTTTTATAATTTAAAATTCACATGGCATAAAGATGTTTATTATTAATACGTTATTTGTAAATGAAAGTTCGTCACGTTTACCACTGGCTTGTATTGTAATTTTATTTGCGGTGTAACGGTAAAAATTAACAGTTAATGCAAACATCACTGTATGGTAGGATTTTTTAACAGTATCAAATATTTTTACTTTTGCTTTTTGTTAAGTTTTTATTGAGTTAAAGATTTTGACTAGCTATGCCCGCGACTTCGTTCGAGATTGATTATTTTGGGCATTAAAATTTTTTTTTTGCAATTCCACTCTATAACATATAAGCTGATGCCAACGAACTCGTCCCGTAGTTGTTGCTTCCTAGAAAATAGACATATACCGTCGCGGACATTTTTTTTAGATCGTTTAAAGAAGAATCGTTCTTCTTTAAATGATCTAAATCTAAAGAAGGCCTCGAAGAATAATATTTTATAGCTTAAAGTCGGAAGAGGTTGTGGGTAATAGCTAATAATTATAAGCTAAGGATTTTATTTCCAAAAATAAATAGTATGATGCCCAAAATAACTTTTCCAAGCGGACGAAGTCGCGGGCACAGCTAGTAGAAAATAATAACAAATTTTACAACTTTGTTGTTTGTATTGATAAAATGTTAGCCTTTTATACATTATATTTTTTACAACATTTCAGAAATGGTGCACCTTTCCCTAAAATGGCGAACTACAACAATCAGAAAGACTTGGAGATGTCTTTGAAATCTGAGTGGAACAAGAACGACGCGTCCCAGATACAGGAAAAGTTTGGGGACATTCCGAATGGGGCCAACGGGACCAATGGGACGAACGGTACAAACCTACAGAATGGGTTGCTGCAGTTTGCTGCTAATGAGATTTCCAAGGGGAAAGGTGAGATTCAAAACTATTTTACATATGCGGCTGCTAGATGCAGAGTGGCCTAATAACAAAACACATGATTTTTAATAAGGAGGAATATGTTAACAAATTCGGTCGGTCACTGTGCTCTTGTAGATAAACATTTTTAGACTACGAAAATATAAATAAATCAAGTCATAAAATTGCACTTAGGTTACTCTGCCTCTAGCGGTCTCATATACGTAGATGTATTATTGTTTTTTAATGAAACACGAACATAAAAAAAAAAAAAGAACCCCTTGAAAGGGGAGTTTTTTTTATTTTATTTACTTTACTAAGGAAACTAAACAGTACAGTCTCTTATGATAACTTAAAACTAATTTTCTTATTGTCTAGGGAAAAATAAAATTTTATAAAAATCCAAATGCATGCAGGCATGTACTCAGAGACAGTACCTTAACAAGTTTCTCTGAGAACATTTGATTTAGAAATATAAAAAAGCTTTGAGGCAAGAAACAGTGCGGACAAATGACAAAACCGTATTCTTTAATACTTAGATATGTGTGATATCTTTAGCAGGTTAGGGTACTTTTTTAACTTATATTTATACGTTAATTGCGAGCACGAAAACAAGTCAACATCATTCAACGCGTTATTATGAATGATACCATATTGTGGAGCGGGGAACCTTTACCATAGTGTTATTGTGTTGGTACATAGAATAAGTTTTTGGTAGGTAGTAGCGGGAGTTAATGGTTAATAAGATGCACTATCGACCTATTTTTGATTCTGGATATTCGAAAATCTACAGACATGAAATCGAAACGCGGTTAAACTTGACGGTGTTTTCATCTGTGGACGGTGGTTCGTGACCCGGGCAAAATTTTGAAATACCTTCCACCCATTTATTATCTAGACTTGTAAACGAAGTCCGACTTGTTTTAGTTATATTATAAATCGAACCCACGACCCGGTGATATTACTAACTATTACATAAACGAGCCCGTCAAATTACTTTGGTTACTTGCTTATCGCGTTTCAATCCGTTGAAATTGTTGTATTTTTGGTAAAGTATTAGAATCATATAATAGGTACACAATGGAATTTGCATTTGATAAAACATTGACCCGATTCAAGTATAAACGAGTAATATGTCGAAAACACAACACTAGAAGTAAAAATGTACATGTTATATCACCATCTACGTACTATGATAGTAAGGTTCAAAGGTAGACGATAACTTCCTGTTTGTGTCCGCTTGTACATATTGTGTGATTATAATTATATATTTTACTATATAATTAGGTAAATCGCCGTATTCAAATAAAATACTTTAACGGTTTAAAACACGGCGTCTCCCCGTGACCACGTCTACTGTAGTTAAAATAATTTTCAAAAAAGTTTAACTAATATATTTCGCGTTTTAAGCCGTTAAAGTGTTTTATTTAAATGTGTACTTGTATGTAGTAGTAGTTTAGAATAAACAAAATAGGTCGACAAATAGGTCCTATATTATAAAAAAATATATATTCATTTTTTAGTTAGAAATGTTTAAGACTTAGAAAATTAGTCTTAGTGTCACGCCTGTCCTTCTCCTCTATTATAAAAAAATAAATTCCTCCTTTAGTCAAAAATGTTTATGACTTAAACAACAAGTCAGAGTTTTTTTGCTTTGGAAACCTGACAACTATAAAAAGAACTCAATAATTTGAAACAAAGAGGTGTCAGTTATCGAACCTTGACCCTCATTAGTCACGTGAACGATAATAACATCACGCCGGAAACTCCTGACGTTTGTATGGAAATGGACGTAAATCTTTTAAAATATTTTCAATTTAAAATTTTTCTCGGTATTCTCGCGGGAAACAAAGGTCAACCGTTGTCGTAGAACACAAAATAACTAAGTTTATTCTAAGTTCTTAAAATATGTTTTTGTTGGGCATTTCGATCATTTTATTATTGGGTGTCTTACAAGCAAATATAATGACGGACTTGTCTGTGTAATGTATGGCTAATAATCAACGGGTCTTAGGTACCGGGTCCAACACATTTCTAATCGATTTATAAATTTTTCTAAAACATGTCGGACTTCGTCTGGAAATCTGTTATAATGGGTTATGGGAATGTGGATATTGTGATATCGACCGGATGACAAACTACCATCCAAAGATGAAAAAGCCGTCATGTTAAACTAAGTTTCAATCCGGGGATTTCTGAACATCGAATGTCAAAATAGGTCAACAGCAAATCTTGTTTAGATGTTACACGGCTAGGGCAATTCATCTACCTTCAAGTTCAATGCCGCCAATAAAAATTCGTCGAATTTAAGTAGTGGAGTAGATTTTAGCATATCGTTGTTGTTCGGTCGACGTGAGCGAGAAGAGGTTCTCGACGTTTCGCCATCACGAGCGAACGGCATCTTTACGAGATGTTAGCTCCTCGATTGCTCGAAGAATTCCCAACATGGCCGAACAGCCCGAAAAGCAATGATATGCTTAACGATGGCCGTGAAAGCCTTACACAATTTATAGTCGATTTTAATTGTGATTTTTATTTGGAACATCGTTCAAAGCATATTAAAAAATCCTAAAATATTGTTTTTTTCACAGCTGAGCCATTAGTTGTTCAGATGGATACAGAAAAGCAAGACAACGCCGAAGTGGCATTACTAGGTACGGAAGCCTCGCCGCGTCGTTACGCGACCTCCGAAGGGAAACAGTTCTGGGTGGTGCTCAAACGAACTCTACTCTTCAGTAGACGTGATTGGGTGAGTCCTTCTGGCTTTAACATTATCCTTCTTAATAGAGAAACATTACGTTAAGACTGTTTTTTAACTACCATTTGATTCAATGAAAAAATGCGCAACTGAAGAACTTAGATAATGGGGTACACAAAACTATGTAGTGTTATTTTCATATCGCTATCACTTAATTTTTTAATTTAGTCAAACGGCATTTTTAACCGCCTTCTAATAAGAGAAGTTGTCAATTTAGTCGTAAACAGCATAGTTTATGTTTGTCTGCCCATAAGATTGCCGTTTATGAACCAAGTTTGTTGATATTGTGAAGAAAGAAGAAAGAAAAATCGAGGGGTAGAAGTTGATATTCTAGTAAGGATTTTGCAAAATTAAAAAAAATATATTTGGAAAGGGTTATATATATATTATAACGTAAATCAATATTTAAATGATAACAATGCCTGGGTTTTGGAAGAACCGGCTATAATAAAGAAAGAGATGTACACTTAAGTGCGTAAGGAAATTAATAAAAACTTGACGTTAAAAGATTTGTGCTAAGTACTGTTTTTATTTTTACTCTACCGTTTGAATGGACTGTTTGTTGAAATATATTTTTCTCTTCAAGTCCTATAATGGTTTCTATGTTTGCCCCTAGACGCTCATGTACCTCCGTCTCTTCGCCCACATCCTCGTCGGCTTACTCATCGGCGCCCTCTACTACGACATCGGCAACGACGGATCCAAAGTGCTCTCTAACCTCGGTTTCCTCTTCTTCAACATGTTGTTCCTCATGTACACGTCTATGACCATCACCATATTGAGTTGTGAGTATATAATACTTTAATTAATTGTCACATGATGGCATTATGTCAATTAAAAATCGTCCAGGAAACGCTGTAGATGCCGGTTCAAGAACCGCACGTGTCGTAATTTAAAATAAAAGTTTTTTAGTATCTATTTAATTAAAACCTTTTTAACGGTTTAAAACGCGAAATATATGAATTAACTTGCTTGCTGCAAAGCATCAAAGAAACGTCTGACCGTTGTTAAATCAGTTGCCTAATATATTTCGCGTTTTAAAGCGTTAAAAGTGTTTAAAAATATTTGGGACAATTTACAATGCTAGTGAAATACGTTAAGCGATTTTTTTTGTACGTTAGAGGAAGACAGACAGACACGCACGAAGACAAGATAATACCTCAGCCATCTTAAGAAGATGTGCTGTCGAGCTAATGATCTTCGGACACTTGTATTATAATTTAACTCCAGCTAAAAATCTTTCTCCTTTTTCTAGTTCCGCTGGAGATGCCGGTGCTTGTGAAAGAGCACTTTAATAGATGGTACTCGCTGCGCTCCTATTATTTAGCTATCACCGTCTCAGATATTCCTTTCCAGGTGAGAAACATTATTCTACATACAACATACATAAATAATAAACCGTTTTCTAGCAAAGTCTTTGAAAGCTCCTGAGGCGCCCTTCGAACAATATGTCATACTTTTATTCTTGGACAGTCGATAAATTTCAAAAAACCATGTTATTTTTCACATGTTGCAAAGCCTACGACTGTGAGCCTTAATTCGTAAATTTAAGGTTGAAATTTCATTGTGCGAAAGAATTTCTTTCAAACAAAAAGAGACAGTAGCTCAATTTGTTCGAGCAGCACGGAGTTTATTTATATTTTTACATGTTATTGCACATTAAGGGACTATATAATTTAAAAACCGAAAACTTAGTGTTTTCTATTTTCATAAAAATTATATTGAAGGAGTTTTGATGTCAAATTCGAGAATCAAAACGGAAACATTGTTTTAGGAATGATATTTCTTACAGGCGATCTTCTGCATCATCTACGTGGTGATCGTGTATCTGCTGACGTCACAGCCTCTCGAGTGGTTCCGATTCTCCATGTTCCTCTCCTCGTGTCTGCTCATCTCCTTCGTGGCTCAGAGCGTGGGACTGGTAGTCGGTGCCGCTATGAATGTACAGGTATGTGGTACTGGTATTTATATACGATAGAATATCTTTATCATACTCCCACCCCCACTCCTATTCCCAAAAAGCCAAAGAAAAAAGTTTCATTGTTCTATCTCCAAAAATCACGAATTTTCATACAATCTTTCACCCCCCCTTTTAACCCCTTACAACCCTCTTTTCGCAATAAAAAGCCTATGTTCTTTGTCAGGGTCTAGACCATATGTGCACCAAATTTCATTAAAATCCGTTCAGTAGTTTTTGCGTGAAAGAGTAACAGACAGATAGAGTTACTTTCGCATTTATAATATTAGTAAGGATGTACTGATCGTTGTCTTAAATGTTTGTCATTTTTCCAGAACGGTGTCTTCCTCGCGCCAGTGATGTCTGTGCCGTTCCTGTTGTTCAGCGGTTTCTTCGTCTCGTTCAACGCTATACCGGTCTACTTGCGCTGGATCACGTATATATCGTACATACGCTACGGTTTCGAAGGGACGGCCCTGGCGACGTACTCGTTCAATAGGACTAACCTCGCTTGTCATCAGGTAAAATTATCAAATCTAATAAAATTAAAAACAAAATATCTAAATTTGAGACTCAATTTAGACTTTTATTAATATATTGAAACTTTAAAGAACTCGTAACGGTTAAAAACGCGAAATGTATGATTTAAATGATCTGTAATTTAAATTTAATGCGGATGCTTTTCGGCAGCCACGGTCACGGGGGGACTGACGATAAAGGGATTAGAAACGTTTTATTTAAATAACAGTTTAATATAAATGAATGAAGAAACTGCAATAGTCTGTAGTTCTCACGAATAGTACATTTCACATTTAAATAAAAGCTACAAAGCATCCGAAAAGTTGGATCATAGTTTAAATTAATTTATACCGTGTTTTAAACTGTTAATCATATTTTTGTTTTAATATTTACGTTAACTACTAATTGGGGCAACAAAACACTTGTAACTAATCCTGTCTGATTTGGGTATAAAAAGAATTTTGGCTCCAAATCTGCGAAATGTATATCAATTCGAATGATTCCAGGCCTACTGTCACTTCAAAAAACCCGAAACCACTCTCGAAGAACTGGACATGACCGACGCCGACTTCACCCTGGATATCGCGGCGCTGTGCCTCATCTTCCTCCTGCTCCGTATCTCCGCGTTCCTGTTCCTCCGCTGGAAATTGCGCTCGACGAGATAAACGAGCCATTCTAACTCTTAGGTCTATACAGGTATGATTCATAATGCGATGCACGGAAATGGGTTATTTCGACCATTTATTAGACAATATCAATCAAAGCATCGGTTAAACTAAATTAATTTTGAAATTTAACTCGCCACCTTGAGTGAAACAACTCGCCCTTATTGCGTCGAAATAAGATTCAAATTCAAGTAATACATTTCCGTGTATCGCACTCTAGAAACGTCGAAATGTGACAGTTCATAGTCGGCGAATATGTAGATGATAATGTGATAAAATTTTATTCCAATGTGATGTAAGAACAATTTTTTACTAGTTGTTTATATTTATCGGTATATTAGGTAATAATATTTTTGGTCGAAGATTTATATCAAGTAATAACTCTTCAAGCTGTCCAAAATACTTGCTTCTGTGCCTTATTTAAAATCTATATAGCGGATTGCGTTCATTTTGTGGCCTTAAGTAAATAATAGTTTGCTTTTGTAAATGTTTTCCACAGATTATACTTAGAGTTCTGATGGTCGGGCCATATATGTATTTATTCATAATGAGATCTGAAGGTCACAATATATTTCTATTACTGCTATTCTTTAAAAAAAACACTTCATTGTGTATAGCAAGACTTAATACTTAATAATAATGGCATATATATATTTAACTTTATCATATTGTCTTGCCTGTTAACTTGCCTAATGATTACCATGAAATATGTACCGTTTTCATTACAAACTGTGCTAAAACGTACAGCGAAAATGTACGATTATTATTGACTTTTTAGGCGTCTAAAAATTGCTCAAAATATTTATTGTGTATTACAAGACTCTTTAATGATAAAATAAATTTATTAAAAAACTTATAAACTTATACCCGAAGTAGTTTATTGGAGATACGTAAACTAGTTAGAGTAAGAGACGGCCGTTGAATTTGTTAACATTACCCACGTTGCCTTTCAACTACTTAATATGTATATTTTTTAAGCAATTATAATTTTCAAAACTTCTAAAATTTTCCGTGCTTTTTGGGACTTGCTTCCCTTAGCTTTATCACAAAACTAAAATATGGCTAGAAAATGGTTACTAAATCCTACAATTCATGCCAAGATTATTTTTAAGATGGATATGTGGGTAGTCTATACTGTCCAAGAAAGCGGCCGTCAATGTTTAGGGATCATGGTTTATAATTTTATGAATATTTGTACTTAGTTAAGTAAATGTATAATTTTATGCTCCAATACTGTTATGGTTACAGAATATTATGTTTAATTTTATATATTTTTAATAAATGGATTTAATAAGAATTCTGTTTTTATTACAACATCGTCATTACATTCGTATTACAAATTGTATAAAGACATAAAGCTAGGTGATCAATGTCTTATTTCAGAAATGTATTGTTTCGGAGCTGACCGGACTTTGACTCGATGGTACAGTATTTCTAAGCAAAATGTCAACGTTGATATTGTAACGCCCAAAACCAACACGTACCAGGGAATAAAAACATTCATCCGAATAGTTTTTACAGCAAATTGGTACTTCTTCTTCTTATCGGTTTGCAGACGATCGAAGTTCTGCTTCAATAAACCTGTTTCTTCGATGCGATGGCAGTGGCGCTGCAGCAAGTGTCTCAAAGGGAAGCCCTTGTACATGTAGATGGCGTACAAGACTGGCGCTTTCGGCGATTCTACTGTGTGTATTTTTGGCGAGCCAAACTCATCGTAATAATCATACTCATTATATTTAAACAATGACCGTAAATAAATCGTGAATATGCTATCATCGTCGGAGACCTTTTTTACACTCTCCCATCTTCCTTCGCAAGCTCTATACTTATTCTGTCCGTACTCTGCAAACACTGTACCGTTAGTCACTGCTCGCATACTTCCACTTACACACGGCTGCAAGTCGTAACGAACAATGTCATCCCAGCTCGAGATCTGATAACCTCGATAGGGATCCATCATCAGACTCACTAAAGTTGACTGATAATAACAACTAATTAAGTACGCAAAAAAGACCCAGAAAATAAAAATTCTGTTGGCTCTACTTCCTTTCACGTGGCTGGGCTGTGAGAAGAGTAAGCCGATCATTTTAAGTATAATACCTTGCTTCGTGCCTTTCTCCATGACGATATACATTAACAATAAATATATTACAAAGACTATGAACAAGGCGAACCAAGTGTATAAGTTGAAGCCGGAGAGTGTCATTTTTAAATTGGAGATCGGTTTTGATTTCGCCACGTAAACATGTAGATAATCGGTAAAGGTTTCTCCCCCAGTTAAGAAAGAGAAGGCCTGCGCCCGCTCATACGTTAGCAGCATGGCACCGTTTATGATGTCCACATTACCTATTTGCACTTCTCTCATAGGGCCCACCGCCGACATATTGTCGTGAATAATACTAAATGCATCAAAATTAGTTTCAAAACTAAAGTTAACGTGAAACTTTTCCATTTCCCCTAATGATTGTAAAACAAATTGATCCATTCCTTTAAATTCTGATTCGTCAGTCGCTGGATCTATAGAGTACAGAGGGATATTAGAACTCAACGCCCGAAAGGTACAATTCTGGAGGCCTGTCACCAATTTTTCTTCGAACAGATCTGCTTTTGAATTGCAATCTCCCAATTTGATGATTCTGTCATAACGTTTTCCACAGCCAAAGTTTTCAAACGGATTGTATGTATATAATTCCGCGGAAACTGTACCGTTTAGGACAACCACATTGATTACATGGTAAGCTAGTAGCTTGTTGAAAATTTGCGGCAAATGTGTGTCTTTGATGTATTTAAAAACGATTAACGTTTTTACGTCCGGCTTCCATGACACTCCTGATCTTATATCTATTAGTTTACTTGTAAAATCTTCACAACTGGTGACGATCAATAAATAGCCTCTGTGCGATAGAGGGATTCTTTGAGGCGTAGTTATTAATATGACTGGGATGAACAATTCGTGAATATGAGCCAAAATGTTTCCTCCGTCTTCTTGTATAACTGATAATTGCGTCGGTTCAAAATAAGTTTGAATTATATTCGCCACACATCCGGGAATATTATCGTTGGACTCGACATCAATTTGTTGGCTGATTTGAAATGTGCTCATTAATAATATAAAGTGCACGTGCATTTTTCAGTTTTATCTGAAAATTATGAAATAATATTGCATTAAAAATATCTAAAGTTGTGAATACTTAACAAATTAATTAATAATTGTCGGCTTAGTTTGTTGGATTTTAATCGATTTAATTTTACGTAAATTGTAAAAAGTATTCAAGATCGTCCCTAAAATAATATATTAAATAAAATGTATATTAAAAATACCACAGATATTACTAAAAGCCGTGATTTTTGAATCTACGTTTCAGTTTCATGCGCAGCCTGGATATTTTATCTTCCTTCAAGTGAACCAGTTAACCTGTTCTTCTCTATCATAAAAAACATTAATAATAATAATATTCTTTATGGTCAAAATTTTAACTAAATACTATCCGACTATCCGAGTGCGAATCGTGAAACAGCTTCTGACTTCACAAACCTGCCAACGTAAAAAAGCAATTAATATTGTTAATAAAACACTTTGAAATGCGTAATAGAATAAGTTAATTCATATAAGTCACGTTTAAAACGGTTAAAATACTCCCAAAAAATACTTGAGCGGCAGTAATACTTTGTACTGTCTGTAGGTTACGCGAGTAGTACACACGGCTGCTGCATAGCATCCGAAACGTCGGGCCGTAGTTAAAAATAATTCTCAAACCAGTATTACGTATATATCGCGTTTTAAACGGTTAAAGTGTTTTATTTAAAAGTTATATTTTGTTTTTAGACTTACTTAAGTGTATGAAAAACAGGGTTTTTTGTTATTCTTAACATGTAGACTACAAGTTGAACTTACGTCAAGCCACAATGTAAAATCTTTAACAAAAACAAAGACCAATTAATATAAAAACCGATTGAGATCACCACCTATGTTACCTGACATCTCATTAGATATAATCTGTGTTCACTCATCAATCATAGTTTTTATCAACAATAAATGGAAACTACTTAATCGCTAACCTAAGGAAAGCTGTTACATTACTTAATTCTAAAAGCTTTGCTTATACACTCCATTATTAATAGTCGCTAACGGGGTCGTTGGTGCCATGGTAGCGACGTATGGCTCAACGGGTAGTGGATTCTTATCCCCCCGGGTGATGGCTTTAAAGTGTCACTAAGACCCCTTAAATGCGTTGTAAGCTGGGTCAGTGTTTTCAGTAAATTTCAGTGTCTTGGTACATACCAACATAATTTATAGCCTGAAATCCTCCATTTGCCATATAACATATCAATAAGACTCGCTGCTTTGCTTCTTCGCTGCTTATTATGGCTTTGGATATTCGAAAATCCACAGAATAAAACCGAAACGCGATTCATTTTTTTTTCATTTGTAGTGGGTCTGGATCGGGACGTAATTTCGATTGTCGTGTGTTTTTTACACATGTTGTGTGTGATTTTTAACTGGCCTATCCTCCTTGGCCAAATATATAAAATTAAAGCTTTTTTTACTGTTCAATATGTTACGATGTTGATACGCAATTTAATAAGGATACGTAAAAGGGTATAGTTGGTTCAATAATATTAATATGTATTTATTTTATTAGGTATTTCCGTACATATTCAAATGTTTATTTCACTTCCCAGTTCATTAAGTCACAATATTTGTTTAAAAAAAATTAAATACCGCGTTCATATTAGGCGTTAGTTAACGTGAATTCTCTAGAAACTGATAAATACATAAGATATTCTTATCAACGTTTGTTTTATATAATTGTTTGTTGTTTATTGAATCATCGTTTTTAATTACGAAAAATAACTTATGCAAAGTTTTTACGTTTTATCACCCACTAACGGCTAGTGGCGTCGGCGAGTTCGTCCGCGTTGAACAATTATTTTGGGCATCGAAATTTGTTTTTACAAACCTTCTCTGCATCTTTATAATTAAGTTGTTACCGAGACTCGATCTAGCAAGTTAATCTTATAGAGACATATATTATCGCAATTTTTTTTTAGATCATTTAAGAATCATTTTTTAATACATATTTTTTGGATCGATCTTTCACTCATGTTCGTGGTGCAAGCAACGGAAACCCAAAAGGGTGAATAATTCTTATTCCATAATTCCCGCTGGTCGCTCTTATTAGTCACAGCGCAACGTTTTATAGCCTATAACCTTCCTCGAATAATGGTCTAACCAAGACAAAAATAATATTTCAATTCAAATTCCTGAGATAAGTGCGATCAAACCAACAAACTCTTCAGCTTTATATAGATTTACTACCCATATGTAAGTTAGACTTTTTCTGTTGCATAGGTTAAAAAAACCTAGGTAAACTTTAGTTAATTTGTAGCAGGGGGGGGGGGGGGCGGGGAGTCTCCCCTGGCCACGGTGCCCGAAAAAAAACCCAAACGGCGGGCCGAAGTTAAAAAAAAATTTCAAAGAAGTTACTAATTTGTGTTTTTTTTAAATGTGTACTACTCGCGTAAACTATAGACCTGTAAGATGTCACTGACATTTTGTTATTTCGTAGAAAAGATTTAAACTCTTAAATTTTAGGTATTTATGGAAATAACGATGACTTAAGCAGGTAAAGTGTCAAGTGTGGAAAACCTCGAACGGGGTCGATGAATAAATTTTCATAAAACATTAGTTAGATACATGCTTTTGAATAACACTTGCCACGTGCCCACGAGTGTTAATTACTCCAAAATGTGATGTAGGTATTAATAAAAAAGTACTTTTTACTATTCACCAATTCTCATTGTTCTACTAGATTCACAGTTAGTACTACTAGGTGCCACTAGACTCTATTTGAATAGGTAATACCAGTTGTTGAGTAAAATTCAGGTAGAAATTGTTTTAAAAAAGTTAACTAATACATTTTGAGTAAACCGTTATAAGTGTTTTATTTAAATGTGTACTACTCGCGTAAACTACATACAGTATTGTATATCATAACATATAGATAAGTATATACCCTTTTAGACATAAAAAGGTTTGACTATTTTATATCTATACTAATATATAAACCTGAAGAGTTTGTTTGTTTGCTTGAACGCGCTAATCTCAGGAACTACTGGTTCAAATTCAACACTTTTTGTGTTATTTATAGAATTTATTAAGGAAGGCTATAAAACATATCGCTGTGACTAATAGGAGCGAAGAAACAGCGGGAAATGTTAAGAAAACGGAGAAAATTATTCAACCATGTGGGTTTCTGTTGCGTACGCTGCAATAACGGTTCAAGATACCCAAAAAATATGTATGTAAGAATTATTCCTCTTCAAATGATCTAAAAAAAGTCCAAGACAGTACATGTCTATCTTTTAAGATTAACTTGCAAGAACGATGGGACGCGGTCGACGTCGTGCCTCAAGTTTATAAAGATGCCCAAAATAACGATTCTCGCGGACGAAGTCGCTGGCACAGCTAGTTGTATATATATGTAAATTATTGTTAACTATTCTATGAACATAAATTTTTCTTATACGTCCCTACGCCTTAGCATAGTAGTTTGACGAGTTTAATTTTTTTTCTGTTATATTGTGGTTGACATACAATATATAACATGACATATAATATTTAAGGGCAAGATGGTATCTGACATCGTATGTTTTTCTTAGAGAAATTAACATACGATTAAAATACATACAAATGGTAAAATAACAGTGATTAAGTATTTAACAAGCGATATTTATATTATTATGTAAGAAGAAGAAGTCAGTGGTAGAGAGACAAGTGAACCACTTGATGGTAGATAAAATACCTCACAAAATGCGCTGTCGACTTATATTGGCTTTTGGTGGAAATCCACTGAAACCGAAACGCGATTAAACTTCACGGCTCTTTCACCTGTGGATAGAAGTTCGGTACCCGGAATTTCGATACTCCTTCTCGTGCCTCTCCATTGCTGAAGGTTGGCCGTTAGCTTTTGAAAGCGGCTGGTGTCCTTTGCGAGATGTAGCGACGCCTCGACCGTCTCTAGCCCCGTCCACTCCCTGACGTTTCGCAGCCATGATTTCTTCCTTCAACACGTCTTCTACCATGGATTTGATTTTTTTTTTGATTTCGATAATAAATATCCAGACGAAGTCCAATATGTTTCAGAAAAATTATAAATTCATCGCCGACCCACACTGGAACGACATGGTGGGCTTAATACGCAGAAACTTGAAAGGATAATAAACATTTGGACTTCTTAAAGTCGCATATTTTTTCTGTACCGGTTCTAACGGTGATAACACCGTTCATAAGAATATGGCTAAAATTTTAATATTAGCTGTGAGGTGTTTGTTCAAACGTGTGAGATAAACAGTTGTACTTTGGTAGAAAAAAATTTAGTATGTCCCTAGCCAACTTTTGAATTTTATTCTTCATTGTTATATACTAAAGTAGAAGTTTAATAAAACTATTAAGATTAAATAATATAAATTATATACTTACATTAAATCTAGTGACCAAGCCAATAAAGTGAAATACCGGGGGCCGTTACCCCCTCGTGGGGCATGGGGCGAACACATTTCTCTGTCCGTTTCACTGATTCGTTCTTTTAACGGGCAAGTAGTTGATCAGACTTCTGTGCCTTGCCCGACCGAAATAATTTTGTGTTTCCCTGGGACTCGAACTCAGGACCTCTCGTGGTTAAAACAATGCTACAGAGGCGGTCAGACCAAGCCAATAATGGTTATAAAAGTATTTAATTTGAGTAATATAAGTTTTAACAAAAGTATTTATTGTGCATTAAAAAAAATGCTTTTACAGTCGCGTACACATTGTAATACTATTTTAACTAGTTGAAACAAAGTTTTATCTTCTTTTCAGCAGGCGTGGTCACGGTGGACAATTATTATCATTTAATGATAATGTATTTTCTGAAGCGTACTGTTCTTAGCGTGTAATTGGCACTGTATTTTATTTTAAGTTTGCTAAAGACCCCCCTCCCGTGACCACGCCAGCTGTAATAGAATCTGAAACATCGGCACGTAGTTAATATAAATTGAAATTAAGCTAACTAATATATTTTAACAAAACACTAACCGTTTAAAACGCGATATATATTAGATAAACTTATTGAAAATTATTTTAACTATGGCCTGACGTTTCGGATGCCATGCAGCGGCCGTGGTCATGGAGGCTTAGTTAAAATAAATTGTCAATAAGTTAACTAAGAAATTTTGCGTTTTAACCGTTAAAAGTGCCTTATTTAAATGTGTACTACTTGCATAAACTATAGACAAGTATTTAACTAATATATTTCGCATTTTAAACCGTTCAAACATTTGCTACACTAAACTAACTATAAATTGATACATTGCGCTTAAAATTAAAGGGACACTGGTTAAAAGCAGTTAAAGCAACGATCGTTTAACTGAGTTCAAAGGCATTAAAGACGTTCAGAGGGTTCCACAAACCATTCACCAAATGGGTTTGCAGTTAGTCGAGATCGTTTCGTGGCCTGGCCTGACGTGCATACGTGGAATCTCTCGTAACTATCTAAGATACTATATTTTAGTTAATCCGTGACAATTGACAAAAAACTGTGCTTTAAAATTTTACTGTAAGTACTTCCTTTATCTCTTAAATGTTTAATTATGAAAAAAAATAGGATTGACATTTAAAAATTTCTTTATTCACAAAATTAAGGGTTAAAAGTATATAAGGGTTAGTTTGAGATAATTAAAATTCCCTTGAATTGGTTAAGAATTTGATTAATAAATATAGATAGATATAGTTTTTCTCCTAAAATATGTAGCTGAATTATCGTATTATTATAGTTAAAATAAATACACATACATAAATATAATCATATTTTAAGCTAGAATAAAAACAATTGTATTTTTTTTATGATTAATGTCGTACAGTATGCAGAAAATTCACACATACGGATATAAACTTCCTCTTTCTACACTCGGTACACTATGCAAAATAATTTATGCCGATATAAAATATTACTATGCCGGCCGGCTATAATAAATATATAGATCTTTAATACTGTATATTTTTTGTGTGCTCATTGGTAGAATTTATTATTTATTTTTTGTGTACTCATAGGTAGAATTTATTATTTATTGTTGTTTTTTATATAGATATTTCTAATTAATTATTAAAATGTATTAAATTAAAAAAAAACGTCGACTTACTGAATTTAAATTTAGATCAATAAATAAGCGTTCTTATTATTAATTTATTTAATGAAATAAATTAAATGGTTGAAAACCGCCTCTGCAGCTAAATGGTTGGACGTGCAGCCTAGCATTGTGTTAAGCGCGAGGGGTCCTAGGTCCGAATCCCGGGAAAACAATAAATTGCTTCAATCGGGCAGGGTACAGTTGATCAACTACTTGCCAGTAAATACCGATCAGTGAAACAGAGAAATCTATTCGCCCCATGCCCCACGAGGGGAAACGGGATTTCACTAAATGGTTTTAAGTTTTTCATTATAATGACAGTGAGAAATCAACATGATGAACATGCCATAAGGATGCTTATTATGGCCTAAAAAATTCGCAAAATCTCACCAATCGAGTTCAACAAACTCAGTTTTGCAGAAGACGTAACCAACTACGTTAAACATACTTTCACTTGTCAGAAGTACAGGGTGGTATTATTGCGTCCAAACATAGTCTAAACCGGAAGCAGTATTGTCGTGACTTTTTTATACATCCGTTAGAATTTATAGATATGTTAAGAGCTTTGAACAATGAATTGAATATTGCTTTTCCTAAAATCGGAAGAGATGGGAGCTAGCTACTATGATTTATTGGAATTATATATGATGAACATAGAACATAAATACATTTTTGGAGGGTAGTTGTCAACAAGTAAACACGTATTTTTATTTTGTCGGAAAATTTTAATTTAAATTTTATGTTTAATTTTGGTGTACTCACCAGGTTACTTTCCTTGTCTGTGGCATTTCACTTTCACAGCTCAAGTTTTTCTGTTTTCATTACTCATTTTGTGCAACAATGGAGGAATTACAAAAATCACTCCAGGATTTCGGGGTTGCTACAGAAGCATTTCAAACCAGTTTAGGAGCAACAAGGTTACCATGCGGCCATCACTCTTCCCTGAATGCAGAATTCATTTCATTCCGCTCTTCAGTCATTACCTGTCTTGAAAACCTACAGCCCAGTTGGAAAGCTTTTCAAAATGCAGGAGAAAGAGATGAGAGATAGAAGGAAGATCCTGGGCATGGTTCATGAGTCTGCCGACCTTCTAGATTCTGTATTTAAGCTTTCCGTGTCTTAGGTCCTGATGAACCTGACAGTGTAGTCGTTCAACGAATGGTGCCAGAAAAGATGTAAGCTCGTCCATTCGTCATAAAGTTTAAAGAATGCTCAAGACAAAATCTGGGCAGCTAAAACCAACCTCAAGGGTCGGGGCTGACCTTGTCAGAGTTTCTCACGAAGAAGCGACATTATTTATTCATGACAGCAGGAAAGCTTTTGGTATGCACAAAGTTGGAAGGGATGGACGCATATTTGCCTTGACTCCTAGTCGCGTCGTCGAATTGAGAGCATGAAGGACAGAGACTGGTGCACACAAGCGCGTTGAGCATCTGTCTCCTTGCTCAGATCCGTCACCAGACTTTCAGAGAAAAGAGTGGATCCGCTCCAAGAAGTTGGGTGACAAATAAGGGATTTTTCTTGCTGTTTTGGTAGGACGGTAATGTTCAGACTTGTTAGTTTAGTTTTAGATTTTATTTTTAGATATAATTGTTTAAGAGTTGTTTTCACTTTTTAGTTTAAACAAAGTTCATATGTAGAAACTTTGTTTACACTCTCCATGTGTAGTACGCCCGAGATTTTGTCATTGTCAAATTACAGTTACCACAGATTTGAAATATTTATTTTACTTTTTCAAGGTTTATAGCATCGATTTCTTTTTCTATTTTGGCGTTGGCCGTACTGGAGTTAACAATATGTTAAACTATTGTAATGTAATGTTAAATACTGGTGTACAGAATAAGTGATTTTTTAATTTTTGGTTAAGTTAATTTTAATTTAGTTGATGTCTGGTACTTGCATAGCAAGTTCTATTTCACAAAGTGATGTAGATAATTTTAAAGTCTGCACAGTCCTTAATTATGAGTCTGATCGCGGTGGTGTTAGCGTTCCACGATAGGTATCATTGGTTCGTCTTTCACAAATTGTCACAAAACCTTTATGCTGTGCATATAAGCAGAGTATCCCAGCTCACTAACTGTTTATTGCATCCTTGCAGTCCTTTAGTTTTTAGTTTCAGAATCTTGGCTAAACCAGTCTGTCCTCTTCTAGTCTCGTTACCGGGTTTACTTTCGGAATGTGGCCGTGTCGGCGTGGTGTGGTATTTATTTACGTTCTGAGATTTACTTAGGCTCTCCTCAGCCGCCTCCAGCGAGCACCTTCTATCGAAATTGCTCTTTCCTCGACAAAACTTTTGCTAGGAGTTTTCTACTCTCCTTCTTCGCATGTTAACTTCTTTTCTTCCTTTGAAAAGACTATCGAAATTTCGTCCGTTTTTACTCACTCTATTATTATGGAGACTTTAATACTTGTTTTTAAAGAATGACTTCCGCAGTAAAAAAATGAACTCTATAATAGCATCTTCTAACCTTAATTTACTACCTCTTCAAGCACTCACTTTTTTCCAGGCCTTCTCCTTCTCTTCTTGACCTTATAATAGTATCCTCTTCACATGTCGCAAAACATGGCCAACTATCAGCCGACTCCTTTTCATTCACGACTGTTTCCTCTCATTAGCATCGTCCTGAAGAGAGGCATAGATTTAAGCAGCGAAACTTTAGCGCCATGAATGTTAATGACCTAAATAATGACGCTCGTTTGATTGATTGGAGTGATGTTTTAACAGCTGATACGATTGACAAAAAAATAAACTGTTTCAATGAGTAGTTAACAAGGTTGACAAACAGCTCCTATAGGCCTGTTAAAATTAAACACTCCCCCTCTCCCTGGTTAACTGAGGAATTAAAAAGCCTTATCCATATTAAAAATTGTGCTAAGGCTAAGTTTAAGCTTAACAACAATGACGCAAAGCGAGGTAGGTCCCTCCGAAATGAATGCAACAGAAGGTGTAGGGACTCTCAGAGGAATATTTTTATAAATCCGTTGAGAGTGGAAAACGCCCAAGACTTGGAAGTTTCTCAATCCTTGGGTTCGGCATCGGTCTCGCTCTGTTTCAGTGTCTCCCAGTTTTGACTTGATTCTTATCAGACTTTCTTTTCTCCTACTTTTGATCCCTCTAAAAAATCTGAAACTCTAAATTTTCTCAATTCGCTCTCTAATCCTGGCTATCCTCAGTTTTGCTTCTCGAATTTCAGGAAAGACGTTAAGAGAATTGTCATGTCGGTTACTTCTAATGCCTTGGGTGGAAGCATGGCGCTATGATTCTTCCTTCCTTGACGATTATACCCATCTTACACAATCCTAACCATCCATACGTACGGAGAGTTTCCTTTCATCTGGAAAAAATCCTACATTATTCCTCTCCCAAAAGTTAATAGTCCTACTAACTCAAACGATTTTCGCCCTATTTCAATTCTACCCTTCCTTTCTAAAATCTTGGAAAAATTAATTTATCAACAGCTTTGTCTCTTCCTCAACAAGAACTCTCTTTTCAATTCTCATCAATCGGGCTTTCGCGCTGGTCATAGCACGACTACTGCATTGCTCAAGGTAACTGACAATCCGAATGGCTATAGAAAGACAAGTCACAATTTTGACTCTGGTTATTTCTCTAACGTTTTAACGGGATTTGTTTACTAGGCAATTACGTCTTTAACGTCTCGCTAATTTTATTGGTTTAAAACACTAGGGGGCCAGCAGCGCATTCGGGTGGGTGATACTACCTCAGACACTGTTACTTCCGGTGTCCTCAGGGTGGTATATTATCTCCTCTTCTCTTTCTATTTTATAAATTCAATCTCTTCTCTATTCTCCTGTCGTCATCACTTATTGCCGACGATCTCCATCCACTCACTGTTTTGGAAAATATCTTAGATGGGATCAAATTAATTAACACCGATACTCAGGTAATTGTAGATTGGGCAAATTCACATGGCCTTTTAATAAATCCGATCCCAGGCAATATATTGGAAGTCCCCAACAATTATCGAAAGTAGATTGGAACAATCTACCTCTTATAAGCATACATGGTGCCAAGATTCCTTATAGTAAGTCGGTTAAGAATCTCGGGATCTATATTGACGCCACTCTGTCATGGAACGATCAGATAAATAAAGTTAGAGAAAAGTATCGGCGTGCAAATATGTGCGCGTCTACAAAACTTTTTGCCAATTCCCACTAATTGCGGAGTTGTTGTTCCTATCGACGCCGTTGTTATTTAGATCTTGAGGAACAAGTAAATAGTGGAGGCTTCAAAATTTTTCAATTGTTTATTATTTTACGGAATACGACCATGTGTCTGAATTCCGTGGTAAACTTAAATGGTTGATAGATACGACGAAACACACACATCCTCTTTTCTTTTCTTATTCTCTTCGACCCACGCACTCCTACCTATCTTAAACAAAGATTTATATTTATGGGTTCTTCCCATGAACTTGACCTTCGTTCCTCATCACCGTCTCCTTTTATGCCTGCCCATTCATCTAAACGCTATGACTCTTCTTTTTCTGTACAGGCTGTCCGCCTATGGAATAGCGCACCGCGAAGGCTCTCACAAACGCTTAACTCCTTAAGACCAAGGTCAAACAACATTTTCTTGAAAGTATTGTTCAGTCTTGATGTTAACTTTTATTATTTATAGTGCTTTGTAAGATAAAAATTTAATCTTAAGTTTTTATTGTTTAGTGTAGCATTTTTCGTTGTGGTTTGAAATTGTTTTTAAAATTTTGATTTTCCTCTCTCCTCGTTGCTTTTACTCATTTACTGTTATTTTGTTTTCCTTTTCATTATAGGTTGCCTGGAAGAAACGCCATAGGCAAAGGCGCTTGCACTAACTCTTTTATGTAAATATTTATTTTAGTTTTACTATATTTGTATTGTATTTGTTTGTGCAATAAAGTGTTTTATTATTATTATTATTATAATACATAATGTATTAGAATGTATGATACACTATACTATCTATATTAATATTATAAAGCTGAAAACTTTGTTTAAACGCGCTAATCTCAGGTACTACTGGTTCGAATTAAAAAAAATTGTATTGATTATATCGTAAACTACAGACAGTATTACTATAATAGGAGATGAGAAGCCGAGGGAAAGAAAGCTTGTCGTTTTAAACCCAATCACTAATTATTATAGAACTCAAAATTACAAACATTCAGTGAAGTTTAAATAAAATGCTTTTAACGAGTAAAACGCGAAATTGATTAGTCAAATTATTTTAAATCCGGCCCGACGTTTTTTTCTACTTTGATATTAGAGACGCTCTAACGTAAGTTTAAATAATAAATTTCGCGTTTTGAACCGTTAACGTGTTTTAAATAAGTACTACTCGCGAATACTGTTTGGGCATTAAAGGTATTAAGCATTATTTGTATTTTTTTTTACATTCATACTAGTTTTCTTATTAAATATATTCGCTATCTAAATAAAATTCGTGTCCTTGCTCGCGTTCAGTTCAAAGGCGTAGGTTACTGGGTTACCCACAAATGTTTCGAAATAGTTGATTATGGATGTAACTAAATCGTATCGTATTTAATGCACTATCGTATAGAAAGTACTAAAATCTTGGGCTTGTTGACCCATTAGCAGAAAGATATGGCCAATAATCACCTTGTCGTGGGTGTTGGTGTCGATCTCGTTAAATGTTATATGTTGGTATCAAGTGAACCACAGGCTTGTCTATCCTCCTCAATCATAACTTTTATATATATATGTAATATGATGATAGTACAATATTTTGTACTATCATATTACAAGGAAACTAAATACAAATGTGTAAAACTAGAAGAAATTTAATACGAAAAAGCAAAATATTTTTTTTCACGTTTAAAACTGTTTAATTCAATATGTTATATCGAGCAGCACGGAACGACGTGGTTGCCGGTTCAAGTTCCGGTCGTGTCATGATTTTCAATGTAAATAGTTTGTAAATACAATCACAAAGAAATGACAATTGTATGATTAGAAAGATTGATAGTTTTATGAATTTATATTGTATTTCTTTATTTTTTTCTATTTTCGTGTCGAACGAGTTTTATTTA